AGTTACTCTCAAACGACTCTCCCATAAGTTCCTTGGCTCTGATTGCTTTTATATAGTCATTAATTAATTAATTAATTGTGTGTGTACTTATCTGGTCATATTTACAAGTCACTCTCAGTATGTTCTATATAGATTAAGAAAAATCTTAAATTTCATTAATTCTTATTTAAAATTTTATAACTTTCAAATTTTATCCCTATTTAATATATATTATACCTCATATAAACAAAATTAGTATAATCATAAATGAAGATAAAATTATATATCTATGTAAAAATTTCTCCCAGTGTTCTATAAATAGGATCAAAAAATATTTTCTCTCTGTACTTGGTAAACACTGTAAACAGGACCATAGGAGTATATAAGATTCGACCAAAAAGTACATATATTGCCAATTAACAGATTGTGCAAACTCATAGTCTCATACTTAACCAAAAAAAAAGTTTGTTGTTGTTGGGATATAAGACCATGACTAAAGGAGTGTTTGGCATTCTTAAAATCGCAGCTTCAGAAGCATTTTTCCGTAAAACGAGGTAACCTCCTCCACATATTTACTTCGTAATTCGTAAAAGCACTTCTGAAACCATAGTTTGGTTTATATCCAAACACCCCCTAACTCTATACACACATACATATTTGTTTATTATTTTTTTAATGAGAATACAAGAATTATTTCTTATTTTAATTCTATTATTATATCGTGATAAAGGAATATCCAAGTCAGAGGCCTCGTGTCAGATAAGTATAATTTTTTTTGTCATTATAAAAAGTTTGATAAAAAAAATACTGGTATTAAATAAGAGGGTCGGTGTCAATACTCAATGGACTCTAAAACCCCTTCCCAAGTGTACCGCTTTGTAGACCAGAATAAATAAAATGTGGCGAGACTTTGGTGGTCCGTGGACACCCACTGTCCGTGTATTTTTTATCGACAAGCTGGATACAGATACGGCAATCAAAAAGGAATTATTAATAAACTAATATGTTAAAAAATTTATATACAATAAATTCCATTATATAAATATGTCACATAAACATTTGAAACCATTGTAATGAAATCAACAAATGTAAATATTAAATACCTTGCCCCCGAAAACACGTCAAAACTCGATATAATATGATTATGAAGATTATAAAAATAACGAACAAATGTTAGTAACTAAAATGATAATAAATGCTGGCAAAAAAAACTGGCATAATATCTAATAGAAATTAGATGTTTTAAATGTAATAACATTTGGAAATATTTTTTTCCAGCAATTAGAAATAATTTTTAAGAATTACTAAGTACAAATTTAGAGAAAAATGAAGTAATCAAACACACACATATATATGTGAAAATAATACAAAGATGCGAGCAATTGACAGTTGTATTCTCAGAAAAATAATAAAATATTATTTTTAAATCGTGGAAACAATGCTCCGAAAATATCTGTGCCGAACCTGAAAACGACGATTTTCTAGGAACGTGATAAATCTTAACACGCTCATAAAAGAAACCGTAAGGACGTTTGAAAAATAATACTCCTTCCGTTTCTTATTATAAGAGACAGATAACCGAATTATATTAATAAAAAAATAGTTAAAATTAGTTAAGAACAATCAATATGTAAAAAAGTATAATTTTTTTTTTAAAAATACCCTCATTAATAAGGAGAGAGAACATGAAAGAGAACAATCCCTTATAACGTAGTAAACTAATCCCTTATAACGTACTCCCTCCGTTCCTTATTATAAGAGACATTTGATGTTTATGGCATGTTCCTATATATAAGAGACACTTACAAGTTGTCTCTACTTTTTGTGTTGATTTACTATTTTACCCATATTTATATCTCCAACTCACACTCTCTCTCCCTCCCACTTCTCTTTCTTTTAATAATTTAATTGTTCTCTCTCATGCTCTCTCTCCTTATTAATGAGGGCATTTTTTGAAAAAATTATACTTTTTATACATTAATTGTTCTTAACTAATTTTAACTGTTTTTCTGATCAACGTACTTCGGTTATTTGTCTCTTATAATAAGGAACGGAGGGAGTAGTAAACTAAGGTTTAAATTCCTGCTGAGAAAAGTACCCACATTTAGTGCCTGACAATACGTCGAATATGATTACTTCTAATAAGAAGATGCCTATACTTTAACAAAATAATAATAATAATAATAATGAGTAGAAAATTGTTTCCTGTTTCGATGAAATTGAACGATGAGACTTGTACTTTTCCTTCCCACGTTCTCAGCTTAACCTGTCACAGTGTACTCATTCCGCAATATAAATTATTTTAACTAATTTATTAATATTAAAAAATAATTTATTTATTTATTAAATGTACTTCAATCAAAGGAATTTTCAACTTTGCCCATATTAAGAAGGTTGTGTGTGACTTTAATTTGGTTCTAATGATTAATATAGTTAATTTCCTGTAACTTTACTCTGTCTGTCTTATTAATTTACATATAACATTATTTATTTATTGTTTATGTACAGGGGTTGGTAAAGTAATCATGCTAATAGAATAAAAGGTCAAGATGCATCCAACATTTAAATTATTTTCTCAGATACATCCAATATCTTAAAATATTTTTTAAATTCGCCTAGCACCTCAAATATTTTTTTTTATCTTAACACTGGATGTACTAAAAATTAGTTTTTGGTACTGTCGGCACATAAAAAAAAATACTTTGATGTACTGAATGTATTAAAAAAAACTTTACAGTACTGGACGTACCTAAAAAAATACTTCAGCGTCAATCTTTTTTTTTGCCACTTGATTAAAATTTCAATTGTTCAAAATTAACATTTTTTTCCACTACAGCTTTTAGCTTTACAGAACAAATTTTAGTAATTTAAATTTACTTATGTATTCTGTAGATGAATTATAATGACATTTTCGTAAAATGTTAAATTTGAGCCATTAAAATTTTAATTCAATAATAACAAATGAAAAGAGAAGGTAAAAAGAAGGGCAGAAGAGTTAAAGGGAGAAGAGAGAAATCATGCTGTCAAATTAAAGAATCGTGCATTTAAAAAATTGTAAATTCGGGAGAATAATACTTCAGCGTTAGGGTGTTTGGTTAAGAAAATTTGGATAACATCAGTAAGTTAGTGAAAATAAATAAAAATAAGAGAAAATTACAAAAAAAAAATACTTCTTAAATTTTAAGATCTCAAATTATTCATGAATTATTATAAAAATGATTGTGATTTACTTTTCAAGTATAATTAATTACTATTATAATATAATAAATAAGGCTGATTTAGAATTTTAAAATTCAAAAGGTATATTTTAATATTTTTTAAATAAAATAAATAAAAATAAGACCTATGTAAGCAATCCCTGCTTTTATTTTATTCCACTTATTCCCAGTTTCAATAGTTAAATACTAGTAATTTATAGTGTTTTTAGCTAAATACTAGAAGGACACTTTTACCCCTTGACAGTAAGAGTCCAGAAACTTCTATTTCTTTCCGCTCTCTTGATATAACGCTTCACTGACCCAAAAAGAATACTACAATTGTTTATTTACTGCTCCTCTTGTACTTAATATAGAACTTAATTATCAAATTGGTTTTGGTTCTAAATATAAGACTTATTTATCATATTTATCAATTTTCTCTAAATTACCCTTACGGATACTCCCTCATCCATAATTATGTAGAAGAGAAAGGAGGAATATTAAGAAAGATGATTATAGTCTTTTAGAAAAAATGTGTCACATTTCTTATAATTAAATAACTTACCTAATTTTTTTAATCTAATTAAATTAGTTAAATAAATTTTATATTAAAAACCAGAGGAGTATGTTTTATAATGCTTCTGCGTAGAAATCACACACGCGCACACGCTAAATAATGTGAAAAAAGTACCACAATGGCTACATTTATGATTTATGTCTTTAGAAAAACGTTTTTTGGCCAAAATTTATGTCTTTAGAAATGGAGAATACTTTTTCCTAATACCTCTCAAGTCCGCGCATGACTTTTTCACTAATCCAGGGGCCAAATTTGGCACACGAAAAGCAATTTTTCTAATCAAAATTAGTTAAGTCATAAAATCAAACCCGTCCGAATAAATTTTAAATTATAAACTATATAATTTATTTTTCAAGTTTTATAATGCATGGAAAATACATTTAGTTCTTAATTTAACAATTGTTTTATTAATATCAGGTAAAAAATGTCTGATTAATAGAATCAAACGGCTTATTGTTTTTTTTAAAAAAAGTTTCCTTTTGTCGGGTTTATTATTACAAGCGAAAAAAAAAACAATTTGACTTATTACGTAACTTATATATTACTCCTCCAGTCCTTAATATAAGACCCATTTAACTAATTTGATTAGATTAAGAAAGTTAGGTAAGTTAGTTAATTATAAGAAAAATGACACATTTTTCCTAAAACACTATAATCATCTTTTTTAATACTCCATCTCCATCTACTTGATTATAGTTGATGGAGTATTCATAAGGATAATTTAGAAAAAATTAATAAATACGAGAAATGGGTCTTATATTTAGGACCAAAACTAACTCAAGAATTGGGTCCTATATTAAGGACCGGAGGAGTATAATTTTTTAATCAAAACTATCTTATAATAAACAAAAATTGACAAAAATACAATTTTTTTTAGAAAATTAAGATCAAAATTGAAATATTAAATAATTTAATTATTTTAATTAGTAACTTAATATGCTGGCAAAAAAAAATAGTAACTTAATATATTCGGATCAGATTAAGTTAATAATACTGACTAATTAATTGTTAGATTTTTTTTAATCAAAATATAACCTTCAGCATGACGACACTTTTTCCTTTTTATCGTTTTCCCGATTTTACGAATGCACCCATTGTTGTGTGCTCCACGTTTCTTTCGCGATTTTCATAAAATGATGAAAACCTAAAATATATTATAATATATTCTTAAGTGTGAGGGCATTTTGGGGATTATGCGTGCTATATATATAGTATCAACCTCGACCCTCCGCTCTCAAAATTCTGAAAAAGGGCGATAGGTGCAGAGGAGTTTCCGTTGAGTTATCCATTCCCATCCCCTCTCAGAGATTTCTCTTTCTAGATTTTCTCTGTTCTCCCGCACAAATTAGGGTTTTTGCGAATCTTCGTTCTTTGAATTTGAATCCATCACTTCAGCCATGGTTTCTGATTCCATCCCCACCGCTTCGATTCCTTCAGCCGCGAACACAAAAAATTTGGGCAAGAAGAAGAGGGTAAGATATTGATTGCTTATTAATTTGACGTTATTGCGATTGTTTGTGCTGTACATTCCGTACCGTTCCCATTCTAATATATTGAAAAAATTCAGACCAACAGGTCGGCTAAATTGAAGCAGTGCAAGATTGACGCTCGGCGAGAGCAATGGCTTTCTCAAGGTATGTGTCGTCTGCTGCATATGCTTTTTCCTATACCTTTTTTTATTTTTTATTTTCTTGGGTTAAGTTTGCTCTCGCATATCCATTGATGGGGTTCAGGTGCGGTCAAGAATAAAGGACGCATGGACGCAGGGGACAACAATCATGCGCCATCAATGGCTGGTGCAAAAGATAGCAAACGTTCACTGGAGGAATTGGAAATGAGGTCTAGGGGCGAAGATAACGATGGATCTGTTCGTCAAGACAGCGATGTGGAATCGCCATCCAATAGTCCCACCAGTGTTAATAGCAGCGTGTTGGGCAGTAATAATTCTGGAACAATTTTCACCGGTAGCAGCAGCAGCAGCAGTGCCGGATGCTGCTCTGGGAACATTACGGACGAAGAAGAAGAGGGTGATGATGGGTGCTTTGATGATTGGGAGGCTGTGGCAGATGCTTTAGCCGCCGATGAGAAGCATCAAAACCCGTGTTCAGAGTCGCACCAGGAACATGAAACTACTGTTCAAATGGATTCGCCTGTTGAAAGAGCAAACGGGTCAGGTTTAGGAGCGCAGAATTTCCAACCTGAGAGTGCTAGGTTAATTTCTCAGGCTTCTGGCAATACGCGAGCTTGGAGGCCTGATGATGCTTTTCGCCCTCAGAGTTTGCCCAATCTTTCAAAGCAGTTCAGTTTACCAAATCCCGACAGGCGATGTGGAGGAGGAATTGCATGGGCTCGTGCTGCGGTGCCTCATTCTTGTCCTATATGTTGTGAGGATCTTGATTTGACAGACTCAAGTTTTTTACCTTGCCCGTGTGGCTTCCGGCTTTGCCTTTTTTGCCATAAGAGAATTCTTGAGGAAGACGGCCGCTGTCCTGGGTGCAGGAAGACTTATGAGTGCGAACCTGTTGAGACAGAGGCAAGCGTGCACGGGGGCAGCTTGACTCTTCGGCTAGCTCGTTCATGTAGCATGATCGAAAGGTCATAAGAGTATTTGTCTCTGTTTTCTTGAATTGTGTATGTTGGGTCTACTTTTTGCATCTTTGCATGATCTGTATTCCTATATTTTTTTTAGGTCTAGTTGGCGTAGTTTTATGGATTTTGATCACCATGGAATCAAGCTGTTTCTCATTTGGAGTTTGATTTTGCATGTGTTGATGTAGAATACTCAGATTCGTATGTGAATAGATAAGTTGGTATAAAGATTCAATACATAAAAAACGATTGAATATCATGTTGCGGCCTTTCCCTACTTCAAATGCTGTTTAAAATCATTTTATACTTCCATATCAAACATCTTCATGGTTAATTTAAGACATTCATATTGTGACTTTCTGAAATATGATCCCTTCACTGCCCCTTTATCCTTTGTCTGCTCCCAAGGCATTGTGCCTTTGTATAGCTAACAACATAAAATTTTGATTGATGCATGCAAAGGGAGCAATAATTTTCCGATATTTATACTGCATGGCGGTATGATCATTTTCTTCTATACCTGGAAATGCTAATAATTATTTAGTTGAAATTACGGCTTTCATTCTTCCAGGTTCTGGAGATTTGCATTTTCATTCGTATTAGTTGTAAGTTGAATTTAATGTTTGAATTAGGGATGCCATTTGAATGTTATTCCTCTAGTTGCTAACTAATTTGGGGTTTCTGTATTTAGGACAGTTGAACTGATAACTTGAAAGGTTTTATATGATTATGATTGTCATCAAATAACCTTTGATTTTAGCAGGATTTGGTGTTATGAGTGGTAAATAACCTTTGATTTACATTGGGAAAAAAAGGAATATTGTGTCTCTCTGCTTGTGGACTACGCCTCTGTGGTTGGAGTTTTTTTAACCCAGTTGGAAACTGAACAGGCAGCACTATCGTTTGAGATGCGGAATTTTTGGGTCATATTTACCTATATATCAGGTTGCTAGTCAAGTGTGAATGTTAACATTACATATAGTAGGCGTGTCATTTAAATAAACTGTCACTAATTATAACGTTTTGGGAAGTATTGTATGTCTAGGCCAAATAAATATTGTTATGTCTACTATTGGTTTCTGAGTCAATGCGATTGCTAATAGCAGTTGCTGAGCTAAGGTCATTCTGTTACTTCAAAGATATCCTTGGCTTTGCTCGAAGTGGTGGCAAGAGCAAAAATGCTGCCTTTTAGGATTAGTAATTGGAGTAAATCAGACTTCAGGAGCATTGGTATTTTTGTCTCTTTGCTGACTGCTTGGTTGTTCCAATCTTTGAGGCTCAGTGGTCTCTAGGCCAACAATAGGTTGTGAAGGGTGCATGAGTCTTCTTATTCTTTAAGCTGCATGTGATGTTGACGAAACGAAGTTAATGGTACTGTGTCCTTTCATTATTATGTTGTGTGGAGTGTTTGGTATTTTAATGCGTGGTTAGATTGCTCAAAAGTGTACAGGGGGAGCTTGTGCACATTCAAGGTTTTGGGAATAGGAAAGACTAGAGGAGGGGAAAGCATATGAACCTCTCCAGTATGCAGCGGTTTGGAGGGTGGGTGTGTCGCAAAATCAAGCGTTTTTAATGGAAGATGTGCGTCCAACTTTTATGTGATAGCTATGAATATAAATGTTCTATTTGATGTCAGATATGAATGAATTTTGAAACTTGTGGCTGCTGTAAGTACAAGCATATCCGGAGGCATCAGGTTGATGAAATGTATTTGGTACGTGATGAAATATGAATGAGTATTTCTTTCTTGGCCTGGATGAACGAGTATTTTTGCCCTATGTTGTTTGGGCACAACGTTGCTGCAGTTTGTAAATCGTAACATGCGCGACCAGCTTCCTGTAACAGTGTAACCAATTGGTTATCTTATTCCTCTTTTTGATTCCATGCGTGGGCAGGGCTGGTTGATGCGATGAGTCGAGTGATTTTTTAGTAATGGTTGACCGAAAAAAGAACAAAACAAAAACAAGGAACTCTTTTATCTTGACTGTTATTTTTTATATTAATAAAAAAGGTGTAAAAGGTGAGAAGAAATGTGTGTAAACCCACATATCGAGAGGGCAGTGTTCTCCCGGGGAAATCATCGTTTCCTGTGGACGCTTGTTGGGAGTTTTCTCCTACACCAAAAACGATCGATTAGGACCACCCCGGGTCCCGGAAGGACTTATCTAAATCTATGCATGCATATTCGACAAACGGTTTTCTGCCTTATTGGCAACATTTTAATGTCTCTTAAAAACCTCCTCACGGCCCAACAAAAGCAAATACAGGTGGCTTCACTCACCAATAACGGTGGCCAGCAAACTAAATAATACAAACAATTATCACATCACAATATACATAATATGATGGTACATTAATCCTTCAATATGAGACTTCTTATGCAGGATCTTTCCTTGTGATGGTTGGGAAGCTGGTTCCACAGCTTCACAAGGGTCGAACCCTCCAACAATACATAGTTGGAGAGTACCTCTTCGTCACTCCATCGTTTGATATCTCCTTCAAGTCTCAGAACACGTTCCTTAACTTGTTCAAATGGCGTGCCTTGTTCAGTTTTAATCCACAGTTCTTCCACCTCTGCCATTAAGCACGACTCTGAGTAAGCTCCTTTCGGCTTTCTCCTTGCATGCTCCAACCATCTTTGGGTGTATTTGTATCGCCTTGGCCTGCCTTTTCCTTCCATGTAAGGTCCTGTGACGTCGTTCCTCACATGCCGGTAATAGTTGGCAACATCCAGCGGCTCCACCAGACGTCGATACTGGGTTCCACACTTGACCAATTCTGGCTTGCCTTCAAATTCATCTGGCAGTTCATAGTTTCTTAACTTTTCAATTATGTCATCCCATACACTCGCAAGCCTCAGCCTGTTTACATTTGATAGGAAGTCACTTTCGTAGTCTTGCCGCTTGAAGGCTTCATAATAGCTAACTCTCCCGTTTATTGCCTTGTATTGTTGCAGTTCCTCCATATGTTTTTCAGCTTTCTCCAGGTCAATTTGCTCCTCGTTTCCGATCTTTTGTTTCTCCAACTTCCCCGCAGCCCCAAGACACAGCCTAGCTCTTTTGCTCTGATATTTCAGACACATGATTAGTCACACATTCTGTAAATTGTTAAAACTAAACAATACTTTGCCCTCTTGTTTAAGTCTTCCAATTTTAATTCTTGGACAAATTGCAAATGAGTCTTTTGATTGAACATTTTCGGGGTGTTGGAAGGAGTACCTGCAACATGTTTCTTAAAATACAACACAACAAGAGCAGGAGATGTTACTTACAAGTCCAAGGTCGTTCAAGGCCATGTTGGTTGCTGCATTATCGCCATGTGGACCGTCAGCAGACGAAAGTAAAGTCTCTAGTTGGTCCAAGTAAACCGCATTTTGCATTGCCAAGCTTTCTTTCAGTTCATCAGCATACATGAAATGTTCTTTCAGGAATCTGTAGGCAATTTGAGGAGCTTCTGCTTCATTGTTTAATTGAGCAGAGAAAAACAGGAGCTGAAGAACAGCATCTGGGTTTCTTATGATAATCAGCTTTCCACTTCCAGTGCAGAAAATGTATGTTCCAAAAGGTCTGTAAGGGCTTAAAGCAATAAAACTCGCTAGCGTTTCTGATACTGCATTTGTGTTGCCCATGAGCTTACATGCCGCGTGGCTTGTAGCATTTGCTGCATTTATCATGACATTAAAGTAGAACTCTGAAGTCAAACTTTGTGCTACTACTGATTCGTTCCCAAAATATTTAGATTTGGGGTTGAAAAATTGAAGAACAGGGTCGAATCTTTGATCCCATGAAGAGAGAGGAGCAAGCAGGATTCTTGGCAATGTGTCATATTTCATGATAAAATGCATGAAGTAATTGGACCACTTTTCTCGTCTTGTAGCATGAGACAAAATGTGATTACCAATTAAGGGAGACCCAAAAGTGAAACACAAAAGAGGGAACTGGTTGTTGTCTGGAGTTAGGTATTTGTCCAAGGCCCATAGGGTTGCTAGAATGGCCACTGCAGCACCAGAAGAGTGCCCTGAAAATATTACCTCCTTCTTTTTTCCAATCGCTTTCTCTACCTGCAGACTCAAATTTATCTTGCAGTGACTAAACAAAACTATTGATCGGCTTGGTTGTTTAATTTCTCAGTTATGGAGTTTAAATAGTCTTAACACGTTATTACTATCAGAATCTAATTCTATGATCATATATACTGAGAAAACCAATATAGTAAATCTAGATGATGAATGACAGAACTAATAAGGATCAGAGGAAAATAACAGAAACATTTGTACAGCTAAATTATACACATACCACATCAGTGAAAGATGTCTTGCCTAAAATGGCTTCAAATCTCTGCAGAAATGATTTATTCACTAAAGCAGCTTCATCATTGCCAACACTTTTAAGCGAGGGAAAGAGAGAGAGATTTATTTGAGATTCTCCAAAGGGCGTTTCAGAATACCAGTCCTTTACAGATCCACAGCCTGGGAAGCTAATTATGACTTTCTTAGGGCCGCTGTTGCTGCCAATCTTTTCAACAAGGTAAGGCTTCTCCGGTGATCTGTGAGCCTTCAAGGACAGAGCAAGCGCCTTGTTAATCCGATCTTCGTTCAGTACTACGCTTTGCACAGAACTTGCACTTCCCCCAGCCATGTTTCTGAGTTGTTCTTCTTTCTCTTGCTGGTTTTTGATATCTTGCTTGAAGCATCTATAAAGAGAAGGACATATGCCGAGTAACTAAAAAGCCTTCCACTAGTAGCCGTTGACGGAGACTTACAGGGGCTTGCGAAGCAAGATTTTCTTTCCATCGAAACGCTCACATACCGTCTCAGATAAGGAAGCTAAATTATTCCTTAAACCCACTGGCACTTTATGGTAAAAGTAAAACCGTGGCTATTTCAGTGTATAATATAATTTATTGTAAAGATTATATGTTATATTAATCTTAGATATTAACTTTGATTAAACTAACAAAGGAGCTAAATTGACTAAAGTTTGATAAGGAGCAGAATAAAATAAAAAATATTTTGCGCTTGAAATGATGAAGAAATATATATATATTTTTAAAATTTTAACCCTAATAAAAATGTTAAGGGCAAATAAGTAGCTTTGATGGATGAAGAGATGATGATACCACGGTGTGAAGAATTTCCTTAGTGTACACGCTGATTGTTGTCTTGAAGATATTACATTTTACATATGATAGACGAATTTGCTAATGTGGGTCTATATTGGTGTGCATAATACTACTTCCGGTCCTAATTATAAGACCCAATTGACTTATTTGAGGAGATTAAGGAAGTAAGTTAAATTAGTTATTTGTAATAAATAAGTGTTGTCATTCCTAAAATATCCTTACTAATTAAGTGTATTGGCTAGAACTATCATTATTAGAAGGATTATTTTGGAAAAAAAATGCATAAATATGAAAGACAAAATGGATTGAGGTCTTATAATTAGGACCAAACAAAAAGTTAAATAGGGTCTTATAATAAGGACCGGAGGTAGTATCTTTCAACAAAGTCAACAAAACTTTTTTCAGGATATTAAATATTTATGTTCATGTTTGTTTCTGAGAAATTAGGAGGAACATTCTTCGCTCTTTCGGGCATTTGACCCCTTTTCTCCCTGTCTTTAAATTACCCGCTTTAAGCTGGAAGCTCAAGATAACGCAGCTAAAAATAATTAGCGTTTAATTAACAACAATGGTGTTTCATCGTGCTCCTCAACGCCTTGGGCTGGTTTATAGATCTTTGAAACTAACTAGAACACAGTCTTCTGATACATGGTTCAATTATATGCTCTAGTCTTTGTTTATTACATCATCAGGGGAGATTAGAATATTTCAATATTTTGATTAATTGAATCATATTCACGTTGAAATGTATTTTAAATGAAGCTTGACAAGATACACGAGTCTTCCTCCAGTGTAGTTTATAGATCCTTGAAATGAGGAAATTCATAACGTAATTGTACATAAAATAGCGAATTACTCCTACATAGAAAGCTCTGTTATAATTGTATGCGACACAAGGATTAGCAAATGTTACAAATGGTTGTAAAATGTAAAATATTGTTCTCGATTGGTTGTACATGGCTGTCAAAACCCAGTTCAAAAATCATCCTCTGATTGGCTTGAAGATGTTGCTTCTGACATATTTGACACAAAGTGGAAATCAAAGTTTGGAAATCTGAGTCGCATATTCTTTGATGGAGATGTTGATAATAGAGTTTCTACTCCTACGTTCTTCTTTTCTAGCTTCTTCTTGAGTTGTAAGCAAGCCTGATCTACCATGCTAACAAAATCTTTTACTATAACGAACAGCTGAAAGGGGTTTGACATGCTGTCTTTGGCCCCGCCTGCTAGATAATACTCGTTCGTCTTCTTCACAAGCTCCATGATCCGTTCCTGTTCTTCTTTCACCACTTTCAGCTCTTCTTCACAGTCCTCTAGGAACCCTTTCATTTCCTTAATAAACCCACCTCTCTCACCATTATTACAACACGTCATAATCTGGCGAATTTCAGTGACATGAGCATGCAGAGTTGAACACACACTGATGAAACTGTGATGCTCTATGTTGGCTGCTTTTCTTACTTCAGATAACTCATCACCTAGCTCCCCTAGTACTGGTAGACCAAGCGTCAGATATTCTCTGTCTATATCTCCTGGGGTCGGGTTCTGCTTCTGATATGTAGCTTCCCTTCTTCCTTCTGACTGAACCACTTGTTCCACAATGAAGCGAAGCAAACTGGTCTTACCATCTGTACTTTTCACCTCAGAAAGCTTGCTTAGAGAGTTTAGGTTGAAGCCCTGTGCATTGCCTCTTGAAGTTCCAGCGTTCATTCGGTTCCCAGCTTTGAGAATGGCCTCTAGGAGTTTTCTGAAGAGACCACTAGTCCTCAGCTCCTTACATGCCATTTCAAGGGTTCCCAGGTTTTCTTTAAGCTGAAGTGCTTCAGAATCATAGCTTGATCTGAAAAGCATTGCTTTTAGACCAGTGAATGCCGTTGGTAGTGCTTTGAGGATGTTGTAAAGGAAAGACTCCGCATCTGCTAGGTTATCTGGGTCGCCATTGAAATCGATGATTTTGGCTGCTTCTTCTTGAGTTGGAGCTAATCTGATGAGTCTTTCAAGTGTGTCAGCACTGAGTCCTTGGCCACCAAGGAGTGCTTCTAGGATTTCATCACGAGAAATTGCTAAAGACTTCAGCACAATCGCAATGTTCTGGGATTTTCGAGGCTCCAGAATGAATATTTGAGGTGGTGAAATGGAGTTGGAATTGGTTGAATGACTCTTGTATCGTTCTTGGGTTTTGTTGTTGGTGCTTGAATATCCAAATAGTTTTTCGATGAGTTGATTATCAAACCTGTAAAGAGAAGAAGAAAAAACCCTTAGTTGGTGAATTCTTAATCTTTTGGATAAGATGGGATGAAAACATGAGGAAGGAAGAGTTACAAGAAAGAGCCATCATTGATCTGATCCCACACTGTTGAATGATCAACATTGGCTGTAACCTTATCCCAGTGAAGAGGCTTCAGCCTTTTGGTGCCACCATCTTTCTCTCTTGAACTCTTGTCTGGGGTTACCTCTTTGCTGCTCTGCATGGTTGCTTTCCCTTTCGGTGGAGGTGGTGGTCTCAATGAAGTGAAGCCACTAACCTTCCGAGGTGGAGGTGGCCGCGATGGAGGCTTAAGTGGCACCTTTACAATTTCCTTTCTTGGAGGAGGAGGAGGAGGTGGTGGTGGCGGTGGTGGAGGAGGAGAAGGAGGAGTTTTATTGTCAAGAATCTTGAGTTGAGGGGATTGTGAAACTCCTTGTGTTAGAGGTGATGATGCCGAAACTAAAGAAGGCAGAGGAGGCACTGGGGATGCTGGATTGACATTTGTTTTCATCAATTCTTTAGAATTTTCATAACTTGGATTAAACCAACATTTTGGGAACCTAGTTCTCACTGGCCTACCATCTGCTTCCAAAATGTAAAGAATGTGGATCCCATTTTCTTCAACGACCAATCCTTTCACTTTGCCACTAACTTTCTCTATGTCCCGATGATTCACCCCTTTATCACGGAGAAAAGCAGCAGCAACCTTGTGCCTTTGGCAGTACCGAGACAGAACAAACTTATAGAACAAGTAAAAGAAAATCCCAGAAAATAACAACATAACAGTTGCAGTAGCAGCCACGGCCCTTGCAATTGCATGACTTGGGGTAGACATTGATGAACTCTGAAGTGGGAAGATTGAACTTCAGAGATGACTCTACCGGGCGTTCAGGGGATCACAGGCAAAAAACATAGTACCAGTAAACTGCGAATATTTTAGTAGTTACTATATGACAAAGTTTGATTATGTCTACCAATGATTGATGATGGTTTCAAAGTGACAGTTGTCGTCTGTAGGTTTTAAAATGTTAATCTTAAGTATGGTACCTTAACTCGCAATTCCAAATTGAAGCTTAATGAATCGATAGATATATTATATAGGTCGGCCAACGTTGGATGGTGTGGGGTAACTCAGTTGCAGGCTTTGGTTGCAGTGGGCATGATGGGTAAAGCCGACCTGTCTCAACCTCTCTATTGGCATTGTTAATTCTGGATGAAATTGATGTTTTCTCATATTTTAATGTTATCTGACACCATTTTAGTTTTGTTCTATACTGTTGACCGAAATTCTGAATTTTTGATGCTGTCTCTCCAAAAACTGAAGTAGCAATCCCAGAATTCAGGTGTACTGGTGCACCAGAAGAGCCAAGGGGACATTCTTTAGAATAATACACACACACACACGCATCGAGTTTGAGTTTTGATTAAAGGAAAAGAACATAATTGAGTTTGTGCGGGGTGAATGGTGATTGTTGGGGTGCGTACGTTGTTTGTTTGTGGGGTATTGAGGGTCCTATCCTGTTCTCCGATGGTTCTTTGAATATAAATATAATAATAATGTCAAAAACTTGTTGTCCTGCAAGAAACACGATGATCAAATTAATTGTAAAGAATAATTGAACATCGAAAATGACAGAATTTGGAGCCTCGTAATGGTTGCCAAGTGGCAACGACTAGATAACAGTGAAATCCACGGCCATGAATTGCTCCAAGAGAAACAGAGAAGCAAGGAAAGGGAATGAAAAGGAAACATTTTGACATAAGAAGAAATATGATAACAAGCACTTCTTCCAAAACATTTTTTTTAATATAATAATATCTCTTACAAAATTTAACAATGGAACTAATCTTTTAGAAGTAGATGTAGTTTTTTTTTTTTAATTCCCAAATATAAATAACAACACGTATTTTTAACCTTGTGTTTCTTGGTACTAGCATTTTTTGTTTTTTTGTTTTTTTTTACCTTAGCATATTTGAATTTGGAACCTCAAAGTAATAGGCTTTTCAGCCGACCAAACCAAACAAACCAGGGTTTTCACCCCTACAGGGTACCTCTACCAACCATTGCATTGACCATTGTGGCCTCTTCTATAAGCATAGGGGAGAGTGGAGACATTGTTAACTGGCCTTGCCTTCCCGTCTTCTCTCTCTGCATAGTTGAACTTTTATTTTCTCAAGGTCTTGAAAATACAAGCAACCAAATCACTAGGAATCTAATCAGATGAGCTCTTCTGCCTCGGAAATTCGTACGCAGATTACTGCCCCCCCCCCCAACTCGCAACAGTGAAATCCAATTATCCTACCGTGATCAGAACTTGGCAGCATCATCACCACCAACTAGGTGTTTCATCCAAGAATTTGAGCAAACATCAGGTTTTGAAATTTCACTAAGGACTGGAGACTCGTACACCAAGGTCCATAAAAGATAAATTGATCCATACGGCCGCAAGTGTGCATTTAAACATCACAAGCACAAAATTTACATTCAAAAAATTTCTATTAGTTGCAGCACAAACCCTTACAATACAGGGTTTTCCTCAAAATTTGACAATTTCATATGTACAGAGGCAGAATCAGCGAAAAAGTTAAAAACCATACATGTATAGGACCAATAAAGTGATTCTGGCATGGCTCCTCTCCAATTCTAATTATGGTATTCATGTTAGCAAAATTATGGACTAGTGTGGCGATACGTCACATTTTCAAGTGCAGTTCTTGCTCAACATCTGCTCGTAATCTAGACTTCTTTGAGGACAATGCAGATGGTGAAGAGAATGATGTATCAATGGGACAAGACACGGATGAGAATGGAGTTGGTGGAAGTGCACTGCAATCATCTGATCGCTTTCTTTTGTGAGATTCCCTCTCTGCACTTTCCTTCCCTTCACCCTTCATTATGAATTCTTTCAATCGTTTCACATCTGCCAACTTCACTGGCTTCAACAGAAACTCCTCTGCTCCTTCCTCCAAGCATCTGTTATTTAGCACAAATAAGCCATGAATTTCCAGGAAAAGCGATTATGAAACAGAATATTGTGTTGCTCAATAGCACATGCCAATAATGTCAAGCACAATTACAACCCTACCATGAACATTTTGGCATTTATAATAACAATAATTGCTGCCACCTCACAAAACTCAGTTGGCACTGGATTTCAAAATGATTCACGTTCGTTCATCGTGGCCAGAATTTCAATTTAAAAGCCACACGTTCTTCTGAGCTAAGGAACTTGTTATTTAGGAACTTTCTCTGAAACTGAACTGAAACTCCAAAGTAACCTCAATCTCAACCAGTGCCAGCCCACATCTAGGTTTGAATCTATAATCATTTAGCTACATGAACGTTCCTGTCTCCATATTTTTTCGGTTCAGTACTGTGGAATGTGGATCCGTTCAGGAAATTATTTTCTGATTTAGTGCCAGATAATTTATGTACTCACAGAGTAGAGAATTTCAATAAACTAGAATGCGTAGCTGAGAAATTCTCTGTAACAAATTAATATTTGATCTTCCGTAGTCCCAGATGAAATTTCGATGCCAAGTACAGGTTTCCCACACAAATATCATTGAGAACTCTTAACAACATCAGAACGATGGAGAAATTTAAGTTCAAAGTTTGCCAGATATCTCGTTACTAATGCATGCAACGTCACAAGTCACGACGAGGTAAGTTACTTAAATGAAGTGCATACCTATCGATTCGAGTCAAGATATTCTCAGACGACATGACCACTACTGGAATCTCTCTAAAAATAGATGATTCCTGGTGGAAATAACAGAAGTGGAAAAACAGATTAATAAACAATTTCTCTACAGGAAAGAAAAAACCACACAAAAGGGCGAAAAGAAAGGTAAAAAGCGAGGAAAAGTGATTATTCACCTTGATCTTCTTGAGCAGCTCATATCCTGTCATCCCCGGCATTGAATAGTCCGTCATTATCAGATTAACTTTAACGCTCTGTAAGCACAGCCATCCAGTGACCCCATAAGAATCCATACAGAGAGTAACGAGAAATGAATTCAAGAAACCAAAACCCAAGCCAAATTTCTTACCTCAAATCCAATGGAGCTCTTCTGTCCATCCAATCCCAAATATTCAAGAGCTCTAGTTCCACTCTCTACAACCGTCACTGAAAAATTTCCAGGTCCAAATCCAATCAGCTTCAGAACTCACTCAATCACCCCATGCAAAAAAAAAAGTAACAGCTAAAAAAGAATCTGCAGTCTCACCTTTAAAAGAAGATATTTTCAGCAAGCGCTCAATGACCTTACGATCAACATAACTGTCATCGACGGCAAGAACATGCAGCTCTCCGGAACTGCAAGGCGGGTCCTGTAACCGGAGAGCATCACTACCCATGGCCTCGAAAACGGAAGAAGATAGGATGTGACCGGAGAAGGAAAAAAAAGAGAGAAGGAAATGCAGAGGGAATGGGAGTGAGAAAAGCTCCTAAATAGGAAAGGTGGGTGGGAGGAAAGAGAGAAGAAGGAGTGGGGGAAAACAGAAAGGGTCAATAAAGGAGGGAGAGATTCGAAGAGGGTACGAATCTGAGAGATCTTGGGAAATCTAGCAGAGAGGATTTTGGGAGGCCACTTGTGTCCTCGTCAGGCTTCTGTCCAGATCTTGCTTTTTCTATTTCCTTTATTAAACGTGAAAATAGTAAATGCTTGTGTTGCTCAGTCCCTCAGAGACGACAAAACGAATCATGTTTGGACCCAGTTTTCCCTGTTCTTGCCGCGCCCTCTGTATCCCCTTCCTCTGTTTTGACTTTGTTCCCACTTTTTGATTTGATTTTGAACTTCATTATTTTATTCCTCGTTTCTTTCAGGCTCTGATTATCTTCATCATCTTCTTTCAACTTAAAAAATTGAGCAACTTTTTCAGCCTAAAGTTTCTGCAACTTTTCCCTCTACAATTTTCTGTAATTCTTAACCATACTTGTTGTTGGCTTCTTTTTCTTTGGGCACATTGCATTTTCTCGCTGGGGGATATGTTTTTTTTTGTTGATTTGTTTCTCTAAAGCCATGCCTTAGAGAAAATTGAGAAGACTGAGAGAATTGTAATAAAAGTTAAATGTTGTCAGGAAAAATTGCATATTTTTCTATCTAATAGTTGGTTTTAGTTTTGAAAATTACCTTTATAATTTGTGAGATAAAATTCTTTTCATATATTTAAATTTTTTCATAAATTTCTTCTCAATTAATTCAAATAGATTCTAAATTAATTGACAGGTGGGTGTGAGAACATTTTGTTAAGAGGTACATTTGAGTATTTCCTCGAGTTTTGTGGTGGTGGGAATTTAACGCTCTGCGTTCAGTCATTTCTTAAAATTAATAAAAAATAAATAAAAAGGTTGGGTGAGGAGTTTGATTAGCTGGCCAGAGCTACTTATTTTCATCCATAAGAAAACATTAACAAACATTTTATTTAGATTACTCGCCACCCATTCCAGATCCCTGCTGACTTCAAAATTTCAAACGAGCCGACTAAATATTTATATTATGCTGAATGATAATTTGAGGATTAGCTTTGGCTTCCTGATTATATTTAGGGACAAGTCAACGTTTTTATTATCTAAAGAAAGCTATATTAAAAAATAAACAAATGATGTGATGCCATGTCTTATTTTCTTAGAACGAAATACTATTGTATAGTAAGTATTAAGATTCAAGCAATGGTCATGGCTAAATATATTTGTATTTGTTATGGAAAAAGTATATTAGCACACACACACACATTGCACTCTTTATGATTCTTAGTGGCACTACACCTCCAAATGAACTAAGATTCAATGGGAATTTGATTGGAATAAGAGGATAAGTATCAAAACTATCTTTTAAAGATGAAAAATATGAGGGATGTGATACTATAAATGAGAACTATAAAAAAATAATACTCCTCCTGTCCTTAATATAGGACCCAATTAGTGAGTTGGTTTTGGTCCTAAATATAAGACCCATTTCTTATATTTATCAATTTTCTCTAAATTACCCCTATAGATATTCCCTCAACTATAATCAAGTAGAAGAGAGAGATGGAGTATTAAAAAAGATGATTATGGTGTTTTAGGAAAAATGTGTCACTTTTCTTATAATTAACTAACTTACCTAACTTCCTTAATCTAATCAAATTAGTTAAATGGGTCTTATATTAAGGACCGGAAGAGTAACAATTTTTTACTATTTTTAAGAGTTTTTTCTTTTAATGCTTTTTTCTCTGCTTACGAGATTGTCACATTCTGGGAAAGCGTTTGGGTTTTATCAATAAAGGAGGTGTTTGGCTAACTCTAAAAATATGTATATCAAGATAAATATTTTTATATATTTACTTTGTATACTGTAAAATCATATTTAAAACTATAATTTTTTTCTATCCAAACACTTTCTGAATCAGGAGTTTGAGACCGCAGTGTGGATTGTGAACAAAAAAACCAAAAAGAAGACTTTTTTTTCTCTCTATTTTTTTTCCCATACAAATTAAAGTGTTGTTTTGATATTGCATTTGTAGGGGCAACGTGGGTATTAAAAAAGAAAAAGGCTGGGAAGGCGGCGAAGGGAGGCGAGAGGGGAAAGCCGCCGTGGGAAGGCGCGCAGGGTCAGCTCTCCTCAGCAGTGACGCTGTTACGGGGTTACTGAAAGAGACAGGTGGGCCCCAGATATGGGCGTGATCCGATCCGGTTTGATATGGAGGCTCCATGGAATCGCATCTTGGGGCTCAAAAGGAGGCAAACAACAGAATGAGGATGGTGAGCGTGGATTTGCGTGAAGCCAAGCACCCAATCCAAATGTGCCACTGCATTCTCACTGTGCACGGCCAAATCTCCCGACATATTCCCCCCGTCTTATCAGTCGTCCTAAGCTCCTAGGCCCATCCTCACTCTTTGGGCCCTCTGCCTCCCCCCCGCCTACGTTGAAACCATCCCATCATTCAATTGTCAGACAACCAACGGCAGTAGCTTCAACAGAAGCTGGATAAAAATTTAATTGGTAAAAAGTTAGTTGCTAATTTATATAACCGTAAGTTCGAATTGCTAATATAAAAATCTTTTTTTCAAAAAACATAAAAATAAAAATAAAAAAACATATAAAAATTGTTTTGATTTTTAGTTTTCAAAAACATATTACCGTTTTTTTAAACAATCAGCTAAAAACAAATTATTATACAATTTTTTTATTTTCCTGTTTTTAAAAATAAAAAATTATTTTTAAAATGAGAAACCAAACAAATCCTATCTAATTAATCTCCTAATATTCAATAACTCGAAGCCTGTAAATAAAAGCTCACATTAAAGTCTTGTAGGGCGCACATAAATCAAAATAAATGAAAATGTTCTTCCCATTTCTTCTCTGTCAAATTTTCCTCTCCTTTTTATATTTCTATCAGTTTTATGACAGATTCAAGATTTGTTTATTTATTGCTGTAAAAATAGATTTACAGCCTCACCAAGGGTCAGTCCAGGAGTGTTCATGAAGATTGAGATTTACTTAGGCCGCTTTAATGCCTTGTTTAGATTTAGCTTAGCCCAATCACTTTTTTAAGAGGTTCTTTTAAAAATGATGTATAAATAATTTTTTTATCATTATGAAATATAATATAAATAATTTCAAACGAATAAGTAATAAGCATTCTTCAATTCTCACAGGCTACACTCGAAGTCTCTAAGGCCCAATGTAGAGAAACAAAATGCAGGGTAAGGAAAAAAAAATCTTCAAACGGTTGGTCTAACCTTGATATTTACAGGGTCAGTACCCTTGTCTTAGACCGAAAACCATGGTTGCCTGTCACCCAAACAGTATCAGATTTGGAGAAATAATTTGAAATTATGGTTTCGACCACAACCATAGTTTTAGGAGGTGTTTAGATAACCTCAGAATCACTTTTCAAAAATATTTTTTCGCAAATCGAGGCAAACTCCTTCACATATTTATTTCGTATATCATAAAGGCACTTTCTGAAATCATGATTTTGTTCTTATCTAAACATCCCCTTAGAAACCAAAACTATGGTTTCAGGAGAAATGAATCTATTCTGCTTCTGACTCAAATTGGAGAGAATGATTGTGCCTGTCAGAGTAAATCTCAATAATAATATGACTTTAACATTCCTCAATTATTTTTTATAAACATATTTAATCTTATATCTTATAAATATATCTACACATATTAATTATTTATTAATTATATTATCTTATGTATTATTAATTATGTTGGTAAAAAATATATTATTAACAATTTTATTCCTTCGAATTAAAATATATCATAAAATCTATCTTTTATATAATTATCATATTAAATTGTGCCTTTTTGAGTATTTGTATATATAAAAAGTGATTCTGATAACAACTATCCAAACACTTTCACTTCTCATAATCACTTTTTCACAAAATTTATTTTTTCTAAAATCTATTCTTCAGAAGTTATTCTCCAAACTATAGTTTGGTTTCATCCAAACACCTCGTAATAACACCTCATAATGAAATTTGTCTCGGCGACCCCAAAAAGAAGGTAGTAACATTGTCCAATAAGGAAATTTTATACTACTATTATGCATATTAGTTTTTTTTAATAAATAGATTAAAAAACCAGTTAAATTTTTAATTTTCAATGTAAGGAAAACAATAACATGCAGTGTTCTTCGCTCGTTTGAGATCCCTGAAGAAGGAGGAGGGCGATCAGCAATGGAAGAAGAAAAGGCTGCGGCTTATTACGACGAGTTGACCCGGAAAGGCGAAGGAGCTGCGAGGTTCAAGCAGGGTCTGGGCTTCTCCACCGACTCCGACGCCGCTCCGAAACCTGGCTCAGCTCTCGCTTCTTCCTCTTCATTCCTCAGCAATTTCGTTAGAGCTTCGAGCCCTTCCAAGGCCTCCGAATTCGAGAAGCAAGCGCAGTTCAAATCCATTCAAGACAAGCTCAAGAAGAAACCCACCGACGAAACCCGACCATCTAGGGTTTCGGACCGAAGCCACAGGCCAGGGGATGATGATGGACATTCTACTAGGAGGCGAAGTAGGAGCAGAGAGAGGCGTGGGGACAGAGATAGTAGAGCATCAGGGAGGCGAAGCCGTAGCAGAGACAAGTATAGGGAAAGGGATAGAGAGTCAAGGAGGCGGAGTAGGAGTAGAGACAGATATAGGGACAGAGATTCTGAGAGAAGGAGAAGGAGAAGCAGGTCGAGAAGCGATTCGGATGAGGGTAGGAGGCATAGGCGCAGAGGGAGGAGCAGAAGCACTTCTCCGCGCGAAAGAAGATCAGGTAGAAGGAGTCGGAGCTCCTCGCCTCTTCAACACTGGAGGTCGGAGAAGAGCGATATTAATCTTGGGGATCGAAGAAATGTCAGTAAAACTAGTAAGGAAAAGAATGCTGGGCCTGATTATGCCCGGTTGATTCGAGGTTACGACGAGATGGTATGTTTTCCTTTTGTTACTCGCTTGTCTGGGATTCAGTTCTACAAAATATGCATTTCACTTGGCGAGAAATTTCATTTTCCTCTTCGTTCGAGCGGCTGTTTCGATTCAGGTTTTCTATTTTTACTCCACAATAATTACAGCTAGAGTAACGCATTCTCGACTTTAGGACTCTCAGTAAGTATCTCTGTTTAGTTGGCACTGTTGCTACTGTAAAACCCCACTGTGCTATATAGCTCGGTAAAACTCTAATGTAGGTTAGGGGAATGCTGGCTTTCTTTAGGATGTTACTCTTAATGTCTCGACTGACGAGACGTGACCGTCTTTCTTGACTATTGTCACAGTCACCTGCTGAAAGAGTCAAGGCCAAGATGAAGCTGCAGCTTTCTGCAACTGGTGAGTTCGCTTTGCATATCTTAGAGCAGTATCTTTTCATGCATGGCTTTCTATGAGATATGCTGTCGTAAGCGACTCTGTTTGCTTTATGAAACGCTACGCTAGTTTGATGGTGGTTTTCATTTTATGTAGGGTACATTTTTTTGAATGATTAACAAGTTTCAACATTATTTTGGAGGAACTTACTATGTGGATATGGATATACTTACGAAACTTGACCATTGACAAATGACATGTTATACCAATGATCATTTGGAATTTAAAAAAAAAAATTTGCTATGTAAAGGGGTTAATTAAGATGACTTAAAATTTCACGCTGGGGTTGCGAGGAAAAGACGCATGTTACCCAATAATCTTGCTAATTGAGCTTCTTTGTCCAAATTGTAATATCTTTTCCTGGTTTATATCTTGATGCAGCGCAAAACGACTCAGAAAAAGGTGTTGGCTGGGAAAGATTTGAATTCAACAAGGACGCCCCTCTTGATGACGAGGAAATTGAAGGTCAGACTTGAATGACAGTATTGTTAACCTTGATGTTTTCGTTGGAATTCATGGTTTGTACTAGGAAAGACACTAATAAACAAGTACCTCTTTTACATTTGTCATTTTCATTCAATATTTCCATTCATGTGGTTCCCGGATAACGTAAGGATTTTACACGTTTGCTGTGTGCAGGTTGAAGTAATGCCTTGTTAAGAATTCCCAATATTGATCAACATAATACTAATAACAATTATCGTCTTTGTCATCATTATAATATACTGTTGCATCGTTGAATAGTTGATATATCCTATTTTACCGCTCCATGTGCCAGTTATCTAATATTTAAGGATAATTAGGATGAGTATGGTGGATTTGGTTTGCCTTGATCTAAATAGAACTGACTGTACGGTTCCCCACAATCTACAGTTGCCGAGGATGATGCATCCTTAGTCAAGCACATTGGACAGAGTTTCCGCTTTTCTGCAGTTGAGGTGTTTTCTCCATCTTTTACTTTCTCATGGATAGTTAATTCAGCTCCTTCCTAGTTCGAAAGACTGAATAGAATTGCATAGATCTGAATTAATGCCTGCATATTATCACGAAGGCAAGAAGGGAGGAACAAATCAAAGCTGCTCACGAGGAAGCAATGTTTGGTGCACCGGTACTTCCACCTTCCACCGTTTCTGACAGTGAACCCGAAAGGGAAAACAATGAGAAGGAGGATAATCGAAAGGACCTTGTTACAAGCCTCTTAAGTGAATCTGTAAGTGATTTCTATGTCATAATGGACACGGTTAATTGGTTAAGCATGGCATATGAATTGAACAATACTTGGTCTCGGTTTCAGGTTCTGGCCAATAAAAAAGGGACTTGGCGTGACCGGGTTCGGGCTCCAGAGGCATAGTCTCTCCATCTAGTAGTAGATTTTGCTGATAGAAAAGCTGGCAATAGCCCAAAACTCATACTGCAGAGAGTAGAGTTTTTATTTCTTGGCTGAAAATATTAGGCGAATTTTTTTTTTTTTGGGTATAAAATTGCTTGGTTATGAGGTGCGGGGTTTGATCATGTATACAGCTTGCTGTTTATGGAAAGAAAATCTACTGTACATGAAGTCATGGAGTACAATTCTTCTGAAGTAACGACACTATATCCGTATTCCACATTCTCACTCTATTCATGTTCTTGGATGGGGCGTGCTACTCTATATCGCCTCAGCCGTCTGAGGGCTGGAGTTAAACTCAATAATATCAGTCCTATCCCCTAATACGTGTTCCAGGTCCCCCCAAAAAAAGAATCCTTATACGTGCAAATGCATGTAAGTGCCAATAAACCATAGCACTTAAATATCTAAATTTCCTTGTTTGATCAGGGCTAGTTTAAGGGCTCTTTTGGAGTTATGATTGGATCTTTTAAAATAATTACTTAATTGTGATTTACAAAATGCGAAATAAATATATAAAAGAATAAGAAGAGTTTTGTTTATAATATAAGTAGATCCAAATAAGTCCTGAAGTTGTAGGTTCAAACCCTTTATGAGAAAGAAAATATCTTCGTTTGGGAGGAAAAGAGAGGTGCAGATATTTATTTCTTTCATTTATATATCCTTAACTTCCTGTTACTGTCTTTAATACCAAAAGGAATTTGTTTCTGCCATTTAAGTTCGTTTCCTCGTCCAATGATACCAAATCGGTTTCACGAACCCATACTTGATCAGGTATTTTAAGCATCTAACAGTGAGGGAATGACGAGCTAGTTCGTGTTGAACTGAAAATAACCATAATTCAAGCATTATAAAGTAGGATAAGAAAGTAACCGAGTCAGAGTGTTCACCTAATCAATAGCTTAAACTAATAATAATTTTTGCGTCTTTTTTTTTCCCCCCGAAAGTTGAGACTGTCAACTGATTTGTTGCGAAAGGGTACACCATATAAGGAAAGAGAATTATATCATTACATTCAGTTGTTACATCAGAGTACTGTGATAGGGCACAAGCTTCAGTCACCAATCATTCTCTAACGCAGTTCCGAATGGGGGGTCGATGGATCAGACCTGAGGCATGTCAAATATTTATCTTCCTCACCCGTTTATTATGATTGATTCTCCAAAAAACTTTGAAACTCCATTACTTAAAATTAATTATTGTCAGCTTTAAGTGTTCACGTTTAAGGCTTAGATGAGAGGTGATGGTGATAGGTATACCCACTGTTCGCAGCTATGGGATTCGCCGTCGGCATGTGTGGCCTGCAGTTGATTCGTAATATCTGCTACAACCCTGAAGCCAGGTCCGTCCCCCCCCCTCTCTCTCTCTCTCTCTAATGCACTTTATCCTCTCAACTTTTGCAAAATAGAAGCTCCGTGGTATGCTTGGATTTTGTTCTGATTGATCTTCATCTCTTTTCAGCCATATTTGGCGTGGCTTTAAATATCACTTATAAGTGAAGATACTCTCACGTACTTATCTTGTGTTCTAGTCATGATTAAAAAACTATTTATAAACTACTCTAAACGGGTGTGAATTTTCTTATTGCGTTTCCTGTTTGAACTTTAAAAGTAATCAGATTTTTTGATTCACAAATCTAAACAGATTTGTTGTTGGTATTGTATTTGTTTAATGAAAAAGGGTGAAGAAGGATAACAGATTAGCAGGAGTGATGGAGAACGAAGCAGAAGGAAAGAAGTACGCAGAGCATACTCTGAGGAAGTTTGTGGGAAACAGAGCACCAGAGATTATGCCTTCCATCAACTTCTTTGCTGATCCAACTTTCTTTGTTCCCTTCAGAAACAAACAATGCCAATAATATTTTTAGATTCTTTCTAGTTCTTGCTGGGTTCTTTTAGTTTGACTAGTTATTGCTACCGAGCATTGCGTGAGGTTGTGGAATAAAGTTGTTTAAATATATGCTCATAAATTTAATCTAATCAGACAGATATTTTGCACGGCAACAAATAAACGATAGCATTGACATGAAGCAATCAATATTTGCGTCGATATGAAATCATTCAGATTTCACCATATATGTGTACGTGTATATGGACACGAATTACCAAAACACTATAGTAGTAAGAAATCCGTGACAGATTGCAACAGAAACATACACTTAATTATAGAGCCAAAAGTCCAAAGGAGTATTATCAAAACCCCAAGGTGGATTCACATTTATTACTACGTCGAAGTTCTTAATATATAAAATTAGTTTGATTTTTATTTTGATCCTAAATATAAAATTTCAATCTATTTATTTTTCATATTTATTTTTTTTTTCTTAAGACAGTCCTTATAATAATGATAATTCTAACTAATACACTTGACTAGTAAAGACAATTTAGAAAAGATAACACTAAATTATTATAAATAACTAACTTAACAAACTTTTAATCTATTTAAATTAATCAACTAACTCTTATATTAAAAATCAAAAGTAGTATTATAACTTCCGTACCGAAACCGCTTGTCGAGTTTTTTAGAGTAGTCACGTGGTCCAACTTTTGTAGTATGAAATTCGCGGTCATGTCATTTATAAGCTATCAGTACCATCAACTATTGACGGAAAAACAAAAACAAAAAAAAAAAAACTAAAAACTAAAAAACACCGTCAAATATTTCGTAAACACTACTCCCTCTATTCCTATTTATTAAGTAACATTTCAAAAAACATATATAATTTTTTTTAAGTTACTTGGCTTTTAAACCAAAATAGACCATTTTGTTTTTAATTTTAGCCTTACATAATTTTCTACAGATGGGATTAGAAATTGCATGAGAAAAAATGTGTTCTTAAATAATGCTTTTTTAATTTCAGACAATATTAATGATTTGACTACTACTTTTTTTATTTTAGTGAACTATATATGAGACCCGAGGGAGTAATTGGGGGGGGGGGGGGGAATTCTCACGCAAATATGACTATGAATTCGCTTTTTTTTTTTTTTTAACCAGTCAAACAAACTTCCAAAGTAATGTAGTTTAGAAGCCATTGATGCAATCGAGCCTCTTTGATCATCGGCGTCACTATGCAATAAGACGCATGACCCTATCAATTGATTCCCTTGGTGAAAAACCTCATCAATGATTTTTTGATACACACCTCATCAATGATTCATTCAGAGAAGATGCTTGTTTGATCAATTCCGGCAAAGACGAAAACAGGAATAGCCTTCCTGCTTAACATACGAAAATTAGGGAGGAAAGTGCTCAATATCCATTGCAGGGTGACCGGATTGTGTCGAGCCCATTCCCATCCCTCTAAGCAAACTTTTTGCCGTTTCTCTCTCCTGCAACAAAGAATCACATCGTCAAATGATTTGGTAACATAAATTTCTAATTATTGTGTAGAGCATACAATACTCACCGGTCCGGTATAATCCAGAAGACGCGTACAATAAATCTCTGCTTCTTCATATCTTTTTTGGCCTCTGCAGTATGTTGCAAGATAAATTAAAGCCTCAACCATGTTAGGTCCTTCCCTCTCCTCATCTTCCATCCTTTCCAAATCCTTCTTGTAGTAAAAAGCTGCCTCATCAGGACGCCCTAGCTCAGAGTGCAGCTTTGCTAGTTGGTGCAGAGCAATTGCTTCCCCGTCATTACAATCTGCAGCCCTTCTGTAACACTTTACGGCCTCATCAAGCATTCGAAGCTGTTCAGTTTCATAGCATTGTCCCATTGCAATCCACAATCGAGAATCATTTGGCTGCAAGAACACAGACTTACGGAAGTAGTGAAGAGCATAGAAAGGCATACCCATCATCTCGTAAGCTTGACCCAGTCCATACCAAGCACGATAATCACATGGATCTATATCTACAGCACGACGATATGCATCCACAGCTGCTGGAGTGTTCTTCATCTCGACAAACTCATGACCCATTAGAGTCCAGGCAGATAAATAATTTTTGTTTAGTTTGAGGGCCCTCCTAAAATACATAACTGACTTTTCATGCATCCCTTTTAAACTGTAATAGTTCCCGATGATACAGCAAGATTCAGGTCTATATTTATCAGTCATAAATACTCTATGGGCAAGGTGACTCAGAGCAGAAGCGGATTCCTTAGCATAGAGCACATTGGAATACATATCCATGTCGTCCACTCTGTAAGGATCATTTCGTAGAAGCTCTTCAAATATCGCTTCAACTTGATCGAATTCCCTCAAACTGTACTGGGCTTTTGCAATTTGAGCCTGTATATAATTACTATAACCAAAGGTTCCTTGTAAATATTGATATTTTGCCAAAGATTCATTGTGCATCCTTAATTCTTGGTAAGCACTAGCAAGAAAAAAGTCCTTCATCCAATGATTATTGAGATTAAGACTATTTAGGATATCAATTGTAGTGCATAAAGATTGCAGCTCAGACCAGGCACTCCAGTTCCAAGGGTAGTTATTCACAGATTCCTCAAGAACTGTACGAGCAAGACTCTCACTGCCCTTCTGTTTGAGCACCAGACCATACAAGTACAATCCAAATGGGTCAGTTGTACCATTCTTGCGAAGTGCTGACAACTCCCTCTCCAGAGAAACCAATTCTCGATTTATGGCATCACTCTTACCTAAAGGTCCTTCAAGTTCTATCATCTCTTCCTCTTTTCGTTTTTCTCCAGCCTGTATGAAGCAAAAAAAATAAGGAACAGTAAGTTAGAGACATGAAGTTTCCAAAGATCTTCAGCTCTATGTCTCTTAATAATACATTCGCAAATGTGGTGGAGTAAATAAATGCATCAGTTGAGACGCAGTGAAAGCATTACACTATGTTATTGACAAATTAACATTTCAGTGCGTTACTTTTATTCAAGACAACTCATCTCAGTTACCACATTTCAAACTGCTCTCTTCTCATGCTCAATGCAGCTACCTATTGAATATAATCTATTGCGAGGATAATCGTTAGATAACTCTACATGCTGCCCCGATATTGGTTTTGCCAAGCAAGCGAACCGATCAATTAGTCCTTCTGGTTTAGAAAGTTTTATTTTTCTTTCCTCCAATTTTCACTGAGTTAGAAATATACTGAGGATGCACGTGTCACAAATAACAATGACACAACCAGATGTCTAACTGATTAAAGGGGTGTTTGGATAGAAATCAAACCATGGTTTCAGAAGTGCTTTTACGGTTTACGAAGTAAATACGTGGAAGAGTTTGTCTAGTTTTGCTGAAAAATGCTTCTGAAACCATGATTTGAAGGTTGCCAAACCCCCCTAAATTCTCCCACAAAAACACCAACAACAACATAACCTCTAGAATGCTTTAAAACCTGCTGCGGCACGCCAGACATCAGTACAGATAATAACATGTATTGAAAAGAACATAACTGACCAGATATAGAGCATAACAGCGCAAGAAAAGAGATTTCCTTCCAGTTTGATCACGAAGAACATGTGCAGCTCTTTTATACTCTCGGCAGTCAAAATAAGACTTGGCCAAAAGATAAAAGTCACCATCAACCAAGTCATCTTCCACCATCACAGGAGTGGTGACATATGAAACACCAGCAACCGGAGTTGCAGTGATCTCATTAGTCCGATACCTCCTCTGAATGCTTGAGCTCCCACGCTGAAATCTGGTGTTTGAAGGGGTGAATTTTGCTGGGTCTTGTTCAATGCCAGTCAATTGTTCAGCTGCCCTGCAAATTTGAATGCAATGACACATTCTATTCGTTAAGCTCAGTTTTTTCCCCACTATAAATTCAAGTCCAGCTAAAAGCGTTTTAGCAAAACTTGGGAAGATGACAAACAGGGTAAAATATTTTGATGACCCAATGCTTTCCCTTGATTTCCTTGACTATAAAATGCAATGCTAAGGCTTAACTCTATTCCAACAAAAGATTCATGAGACAAGAGGGTCGGAAAACAGCAGAAGTGAGTTAAAAGAAAGCAGAAACTTAGGGTTTTTGAGACTGAGTACCATTTGGAAGCAGAGTAGAGACAACGATCATTAAGTTGACGAATCGCAATGCGAAGCTCACTTCGGCAACTCTCTTTGGAACTCATCGATTCGATTACTCGATGACTGCTGAGGGAACGAATCAATGATAGTTCGTCATGAAACCCAAGACTCAGCAAACTCCGCGCGGCAACTTCTAACGTGCGCCGCGAGAGTAAGTGGTGCTTCGAATCGACCCGCCAGGCGCCGAGCTCCAGGTTTTTTGAAAATATCGAAATTCTCGTATTACGGCCGGGCTTAAACCATAAGCCCATGCCCTTGTTTTTTTTTAATACACCGCAAAGAACCATAAGCCTATCTCTTCGTAGGCCCATCCAATGCAGCCAGACCCTCGAATTTAAAACAATATTATATACATATAATTAATATATATGAAAAATTTAAAACAAATTATATAAATAATTTAGAAATGCATTTAAATAATCTAAAGTTATAATGAAATCATTGAAAATGGACTAAAACCTTATATATTTAAATTTATCTATGTTTAAAATCTTTAATGATATTAAAAATTATCAATTCATTCAAATCAAAAATTGTTTTAAAAGACAGACTAGACATTGAAACAAAAAAAACTAATGACTCACAATTTCAATACCACAATATATGAAATTTTCAATGAAATAATATTATATAGTTATAGATAGTCTAAAAATATATTAAGATATTTAAGGGGGTCAATTTTTTTATTTTTCTTCTAATTTTTTAAAATTTTCTAGTACTTTTTTAGTCAAGCTAAAACGGTTTTGTGAAAACCGTTTCGGTTCCTAGTCCAACTCCAATTTCCGACTTAATGACGGCTCAACTTCGGTCCATTCCAGCTCAACCATGTGAACAGTTTTTTAGTCCAAACCGAGCCGTTAACAAGTCCGGCTAACGGTTTAACCAATCCAACTGCCCCGTCTGGTCTGATTCTTTAATTATTGGTGTTTAGTTTATAACCTATTATAAGCGGTTTTATGTAGTAAGAGATAAGCACGTAAAAAAGAGTTTTATCTCTTAAAAAATGAAAAAAAAATACTTTTTTTAATGTAATTAGGGAGAATTATAATCAAATCCAACAGAAGAAAAATAATTACTAAAAAGACCCAATAACAATCTCAACAACCTATAATGACAAGTCCTATAATGAGAATAACAACTCCTAGGACTTGTTTTTTAATCGTTTTCCTTACTTAGGACCTCATTGTAATTCTCCCATGTAATTACGGGGATTTGCTAGCATTATGCCATTCCGACTATTATAAGGAGAATTAGACAGGCAATACATTTCTACATTCTGAAAGAGAATGGAGAGGTACGTCTTTTCCTTTATCCCGTCCTAGGATTCGTGGAAGAGACTTAAAACATGAAATTCCCCATTTATCGATTGAACCGTAGCTTTGGTATGAACATTCAATTCACAGCACTGTCTGCGTACCCCGAGTTTCTTTTTTCCAGTAAACACTGGTTGACTGGTTGTGAATCCTTCCTATTACCAAAGCTTACCAGTTACCATGCGTTACCGGCAGCATGCACAACTCTGCCGGAAGCTCGCAGTCGCAGAAACCGTGTGTCGACCGCTGAGCTACTGAATCCTTTGGTTCTCGTCTTCTTGAGATCTTGAAGAATTGAACTCAAGGAAAAGAAAAAAATAGTTTGTAAGCATAGTGCCACAAAATGACTCACTTTGGACGATTTGTATGGGAATCAATCTAAAGAAACTCAACCATTCATGTCTCTGAATCCATAACATATTTATTTCCCGGAAAAGGCTCTTAATTTCAGCTTCGATATATGAGAAATATCAATATATGACCTCGCAACCCCGCTCTGTAAGGCAAGATACTCTTAATTTCTTATACTTACATGCACAACAAGCCAATGCTATGGGAGAAGTCCAACACAAACAACACAACTAGTATAAACTCGACCATGTCGAATTTTATCTTCATGAAATTGACCTCACATTTTAGCACTACCCTCTCGTACAACCCCAATTTATTAGCAGTTTATACCGTTATCATCACAGCTTCGAAGGTTTCCGGTACCAGCCCCAGGGTTCATCAGAGATGTACTGTGTGACTTGCTTCACGTTCAAGTAGTTATTGAGTCCCCTGAAAATTAAAATAAGCAAGCATATTCAGATTCAAATGCTCAAATAATGATCAGTCATCATAAGAAACGATTCACAAACAACGATGTTTTAGGTTTGAAAGTAACAGATTCCAATGTGTTTTCTCTACGGCCTTCAAGTATGCCAACTGTTTGGATCTTCTTTCCCTCACTCTAAGCCAGAGTCAAATGCTGACCAAGAAAAATTAATCAAACCAGAAAGCCACTTGGAAAACTGGCATTATATTGCATCCATGCTCTATTTATAATAGATTAGGATTATATTCCTGATATCAAGGTGTCATGGCCATCTCTTGTCCAAACTAAAGAGTGCGCAAAGCGAATTTCACAATTGCTGGCTCAGGAAAAAGAAACAGAACCATACCATTCTCCTAATTCACGACCAAAGCCACTACGTTTTTTGCCTCCCCATGGGGCCTGAGTGAAGCATGGCTGCGAACAATTGATCCAAACGATCCCAGCCTGGAAAGCCTGCAGAGAAGGAATAAATTCAATAAACCATTAATCCAATTCTTTTGTCACTTTAATGACAATCTAGGATGTCACTCACCTTGGTTACACGCTCACATCTTCCTAGATCATTAGATATTACAGCTGCACCCAATCCATAACTGTCAAAAATCACAAGTGCATACAGATATCAACCAACAATTAGAGGAAAAACATTTAACATTAAAGTGATACAAATCAATTCCCGAACAATAATCAACTCACTGGGTGTCATTTGCTAACTCAATGGCTTCTTCCTCATTACTAAACGTTTTTACTGCAAGAACGGGTCCAAAAACCTCCTCTCTCCAAATTTGCATGGAGGTAGTCACATCAGTTATAACAGTTGGTTGAACGAAAAATCCCTTCTTTAAATGCTGCCATTAATTTGGGAAAATCACTCAAATCTTGCAGCAAGCACAGCAGAAATACATGACCCCAAGAATTGATACAAAAGGGGATCTATCATACCTCGGGGCGGGATCCCCCAGTCAAAATTGTTGCGCCCTCTCTTTTAGCAGTTTCAATGAATTTCAATATCTTTTCATACTGGATTATATAATCCAAACGTTAGATACAGCATCATCTTAGTTCAAGACTAATAATTGCTAAAATTAATGGAGAAGTGTGAGGTACGAGACTGGAGGTAAAATCAAGTCATGCCAAGCACAATGTTGTGAGCCACCAAAATAAACATTAAAAAAATCAAACAATACAGCCGACAATCAATGGCAAAAGTGTTCCCCAGGACACTCGATCAGAATGAGTATGTAACATGAACAGAGAAAATCAAAGAATTTCAATTTATATTCCTTTTCTTCCAAATTAAAAGCAAAAATACGCAACAAAAACAAGAGCATAATTCTAAATGCAGGATGTATTTTCGGTTTTACCTAAATAATCCCATTATTTATCCCTATAATAAATGGAGGAGGTGAAGGTAAGTTGAATGCATGTCTAGGAGTCTATTTAAATGAGAAATAAAAGGATACCTGTCCCCGACTGACAACAGGGCCTAGCCTGCAACCTTCTTCCAAGGGATCTGAAATTTTAATATTTTCGATCCACTTCACAATTCTATTCAGAAATTCTGCCGCTATGCTTTCCTGAAATGATACAAGTATCTTGCCTTGTCAAAAAGCACAGGATGCATCAAAGTTCTTAGATCAAGCTCAACCAGAGTTCACATTTACACAATTCAGAATTTCTTCAGAAAAAAATAAGGGGAAGAAAAAGAGGGAAAATGAGATTCAAGTACCAATTCTTGTTTTGCGATGGGTCGTTTATTACACTTACATGTACAATAAGACGGGATGTTGCACTGCATATTTGACCATTTGTCCAGAAGCAGCCAAAGATGGTCCATTCAGCAGCTGTTTGAGATCATGGACAACAGATCAATAAAAATTAAATTGCACACCAGTATCTGTTTAAACTCACCAACAAGTTTTGGATGATAAAAATTCACTCACGTTCAATTAGTCTCCCCAAGAAAACGTGATTCCACAATTCAAAATAACATGGCTGTCCAAAAGTAATTAGCTCAATTTAAAATATCACTGACCTTTATCTAGGTCGACATCCTCAAAAACAATTATTGGGCTTTTTCCGCCAAGCTCTAAAGAAACAGGCTGCCAATAAACCAAAAAATTAGATATTACATGATACAACAAAGAATGTAAGGAAAAAAGCTTCCATCCTATCTCTAGAGTGAGCGTGCGTGTGTTTATGCTTCTCCTTTATCATTCAAAACAGGGCATTGTAAACTGTTCATAACTTGCATATAATACTGCTTGAAAATACCTTCAGCAGCTGAGCTGCAGCTGTCATAATCTTGCTCCCGGTTGCAGAGCTTCCAGTAAAGGCAATCTGTTGAAAACTTGAAAATAAATAATTATGGTATGGAAACTTTACACTTAGACCTCATAGTTACATTAGTTGCAAGAGAATAGAAAAGATATATCTCCATATTATTTCAATTCTACCACAAACTAAAGACAAATGAACCTTGTCTACATGAGGATGGGATGCCAGAGGAGCACCAGCTTCAGGGCCTAATCCAGTGAGAATATTTAAGACACCTGGAGGAAGGCCCACTTCCATACAGATATCAGCGAGCTCCAAGCAGGTTCTGAAATTGGAAATAGCTCAGAATGACAAACTGACGTAACAAAGAAACAAGTTTCCATTGATTGACACTTGACAAGGACATACACAGATGCCAGTTCAGAAGGCTTTAATATTGCAGCACAGCCAGCAGCCAGAGCTGGAGCAACTTTCCATGTAGCCATTAACATGGGATAATTCCTGAATCATGATATTAAAATCATCATATAGTTATCCATTTCAACACTTCACGGGCAATTTGGCATTGTTACATCTTACGATAACAAAATAGGGTTATGAATGCCTAATAACTGATTTGCTACGCATATGCCCCTAAAATCCATGTCGTTTGAGGAAAAGGATGGGCATGTATTTTATCTATAAGAAGCTATGCACATCTCAGCAGAATCAGCAGATACCAGGGAGTAATTAATCCTACAACCCCAACGGGCTCATGAAGAACATAAGACTTGAAGGTGTCCATGGGAAGAGATACAGGAGCCTTTTGCTTTGCATCCAAACCTTCAGCAAGATCAGCATAGTACTCAAAGCAACCAGCAACATCATCCTAGATAAAACCATGCATAAACACATAAGCAAGTATTAAAATAGATGGTATAAACCGAAATGTCGATAGTTATCTTATCACTTACAATGTCCCACGCTGCTTCTTCTAGTGGTTTTCCACAGTCCATTGCTTCGAGTTTCGCTAGTTCCGACTTTCTATCCTTAATCTGCGAGCATGAATTGGATGTTTAGAGATCAGAACATTCATAAATAGACGAATCAACAATAAAAGTAACTTCTGTTTTTATAAGAGAAAGGCGGAAAGAAAGAAATGAATAAAACCTTATCGGCAATGGCTCGCAGATAGCGAGCCCGAACCAACCCAGAAGCCGTTGACCAATCCGAGCCTTTGTTCCGGGTGAGGGCTCTTCTAGCAGCAGCCACTGCAAGCTCCACATCTTCCGAAGTAGCAGCCGGAATATCTCCTAAACAAGGCAAGATTTAGAACACATGAGCGAATTAGGACTGATCCGGCCAAGTACGAAGCACAAGAACTGCTTATATTCTGGTTATCAATTCATGGCAAAGAGTAATGAACTGGGATGTGAAAGAGTAAGGAGAAGCAAAAAGATCATGGAGAGTTGTAGGTGCAGAGTAAGGAGAAGCAACCAATTTTTTCTTCAGTGGTGGGGTTGACGATGGGAATTCGTTTCTTGAGAACTGGCTGTTTCCACTCCCCGTCAATGAACAATTGTCTGGGGGCCACTGGGATTGCCATCTCTCGAAATCTGAGCTGATGCCTGGTGAAACCAACACGACGGTGCGCCAGAGAGACTGGCGAGTTTATGCACTTCCGAGGAGTTAATGGAGGAGCTGCTGCTTCAGGATCGTTCACAGGTGATCACTGATAAGTAATGCTGTAATGGATCCCTGAGAAAACAAATTATGATGGTCTAAAAACACAAATTATGTTACCCAGTGGAAAAAAAAAAATTATGACGTACTATCTGCCTTAATATAAGATTCAATTCAGCAATTCAGAGAGATAATAAAAGTTAAATAAATACTTTTCTCTAGCTAAACACAAGCAATTTTCTATTGGAAGCGTTAAATTTCTTTAAGATTGAAACATTAATTCGTTACGTTATAAGAAATTAACCTATTTTACAACTAAATAAATAATTATTTATAGTATATATTATATTGTCTTTTTCAAATACTTATATACATTTTAAAATTATATATAAGTTTATAAATCAAACAAATCTATAATATCCTAAATTAATTTTTAGGATTTATGTGTAAAAAAATATATAAAAAAATAAATAAATAATAATATTTTAATATTAAGAAAAAAAAGGTCAAACTTTTTGCCGTAATTCCGTGAAAAGTTGGGGGGTTAGGTTTGTCCCTTCCCAATAAACATGTGGTGGTGTTCAATTCCTTCCCTCATAGAGAAAGAGAGGGAGAGAGAGTCGGCGAGAAAGAGAAGAGCTGGTAAAAAAAAAAAACTTTAAAGATATTTTAGGTATATAAAATTATTTTTTTATAAATATTTTTATATATTTTAAATTTTTATTTACATTATTACTATAGTGATTAGACAAAATTTTAAGACTTATATATGATGTAAGTATTAAGTTTTGATAAAAAATGACCATAGAAATTTAGAAGTAAATGAACTGTTAATTTTAATCAGTTTAGATTTGTTTATTTCTTAGTTTTTAGTATTTAAATTAATTTATTTAGATGAAAATATGTTATTTATGAGATATACCATATTTTTATTGATTAAATTTAAGTTAAATAACCTATTTGAGGTGTTAACATATTATTGAGATTTTAATCGGTTTAGATTTATTGAGTGACTTGAGGTTTTAAAATAATTAATTTAGTTAAAAATTTTATTATTTATGAAAATATCATATAATAGTTATATTATTAAAGTTTTGATTAGCTTAATTATTTATAAATATTTAAAATATTTTTAAATTTTTGGTGGCTTGATTTTAAAATTTAAACTTCAAATAAGATTTTTAGAATTTAAAATATAATAATTCCATATTTAGAAATTTTGAAAAATTCTTTTTACTAAAGAAAATAATCCAGATGTAAATGAATATTTTTAGCCTGTTAGAAAATTTTATAAGTTAGTTCTGAAATACTTAATTTTAAATTATGAGAGTTGTAGAAATTTAGAATAAAAATTAAATTAAATTAAAATTTTAAATAATATATAGAAGCTATGGTATTAAAATCCGGACCGAACTGGACCGTACCAGCCGATTAGGACCGGAAACCGGCGAACCGGTCACTTGTCCAGTCCGGTCCTTACCTAAAACAAGAAAGAAACCAACCCGGCCTAACTCGTTTTTAAACTCGGGTAACCCGGACACAATTCGTGTAACTCGTTGGGTCAAATAGGTCACCGGGTTAATTTTTCTTTTCTCTTCAGGGTTCCAAAAATGACACCACGCTCTAATAGAAAAGAAGAAAGGTTGAAGAAGACAAAAATAAAAGCATATAAAGAGAAAAAAGAAACTCAAAGAAAAGGAAAAAATATTAAAAAAAATTACTCAACATAGTATGTAGCGGTTAATAGAGAGAGAAGGAGAATACAAAGAGGGAGGAAAAAAGCGCCGGACCTGCGGAAGACGGAAGAAAACGAAGAAGAACTGGAAAGGAAGAAGAAGTGAAGAACTGAAGAAGTGCGAACGAGGTAGACGCCCGGAGGCAAAAAGCGCCAAGCAAACCTGCAGAAGACGTACGGGGGTGTTTGGGTTTCAACCCAAACCATGGTTTGGGGAAAAATCTCCCAAACACCCTTAAAAAACCCAAAACCATGGTTTTGGGAAAAACAAAAAATTTTTGCTTTTAGAAAAAAAAGGAGAGAGTATGAGAGCTTATAGGATATGTATCTTGTTATTTTTTTTATAAACATATTTTTTTATAAATATATTTAATCTTATATCTTATAAATATATATACATATTAATTATTTATTAATTATATTATCTTATGTATTATTAATTATGTTAATAAAAAATATATTATTAACAATTTTATTCCTTCAAATTAAAATATATCATAAAATATATTTTTTCTGTAATTATTATATTAACTTATGCCTTTTTTGATAATTTGTACATGTAAAAAGTGTTTCTGGTAACAACTATCCAAACACTCTCACTTCTCAGAATCACTTTTTCACAAAATCTATCCTTCAAAAAATCTATTCTCCAGAAACTATTCTCCAAACTATAGTTTGGTTATATCCAAACACCCCCGTAATGTTCAATCAGTCTGCTACGTTGGGAGAAAACAAAGTTTTGAAAGGTCAAATAAAAAAGTAATATGCAGACCAAAAACGTGCATATTCCGATGCGGCTTTAGTTGCTTAGGTAGGGAGAGCTGTGTGAGTCTAACTACTGTTCAAAAAAAGTAGGTCTAGCAAAATAAAATTATTTATTCTAATTTCTCACGGTTTACTTTTATTAGAAAATAAAACTCATGTTTATTATAAATTTGTGTGTTATTATATTTTGCCATTTATTTATATTGTTTAAAAAATTTATATTATCATTTTGGTTTATTATTATATAATTAAGAATTATATTATTTTTATTATGACCGGTCTGATCCTGATTTTACTCCGATTTAACCCACTATCCCCGACCGGTTCACTAACCGGTCTGGTTTTCAGCACCTTGATAGAAGCATAATTAATTAATTATTTAGCTTATATTAATATGTGGTTGTATTAATTGTGTAAATTAATTATTGGTTGAACAAATGATTGACCTTGTGGTAATCCTTTCAATTGCTTTGGCGAGAGGTAACCACTTTCCACTTGTTATATGTGTTAATAATATGTTGTTTGTGAGTATTTTGCTATTTTAGAATAATGATTTATTATTTAGAACCCGAGTAGATATGTTATACTTTTTGAGTTATAAAAATTGTCTTATAGGTTTTTTGGAGTTGTGATTGAGAAGTTTATAAAAGATATATGATTTATTTCTTATAGATTATATTGACAAAAGATTGAGACATTTTTATTATATTGTAAATAATTGGTTATTATTTAGATTTTGGATTGAGTCCTGTCCTACTACATGGTAAGGCCGTCATTAGTGCACATTGGTTGGTTTCTTTTGTCTCCCATAATAAGAAATAGGCCTTTATGACTTCTTATTCATCTCCCAAAGTGAGGGATAAGTCTATATGTCTGATTAATCCCCTATAGTGAGGGATAGACTTATGTGGCTTATGTGTTAGCCTTCATAGTGAAAATTTGGATGACTGAAATTATATTTCTATGGATATATCTATCTTTTTTTTATAGAATTGATAACTATCCCACCTGACACCTTACGAGCACGTCTTAGTATGTATGATGAGTTGGAAAGTTGGTTATTGAGACGTTTGTCTCACCTCGTGGTTTTTACTATCTTCAGGTGATAGTTCAGACGGTGGCACATCAAGGAAGGCTCCGGAGGCATAGTTTGCTGTTGTAGCTTGTATAACCTCCCGACTTTTGTTTTATGTGCTGGTTTTTTATATATTATCACATAAGGCTCATATACTCTAATGTTATAAATTAATATTTTTAATTACTACTAATTGACATGGGAGGCCATTAGAAGGCCAGAGGTCTTTAAAACTTTGCGTGTTATGCTCTTTTAAAAGTGTTGACTTTTGACTAATGGGTTTCATAGCTTGTATTAAAACGATTTATCAGTTTGTATGTGTAAAAATATAAGTTTGGTGCGAGTTAATAATTTGATGGTATTCTTGGACTTTGAAAGTTTAAGTCCCAAATTAACGATCAATGTTGCCCATAACATAAATTTATTTCTTTTAACCATGATAACGATTTTAAAATTTTAAGATTTCTTATTTTCTATCATGGTTAATCTTCCGAATAAATTGTTTGATTTAATCTCAATAGGTTTTAAAAGAATGGTTGTCACAAAATCAATTTATAAAAAATAATAAATATAGATAATTTAAAATAATTTATGTGGTTTTTTAATTTTTTTAAATTAGTCATTAGATCTTATATTAATAATAATACGAACTCATATTTTAGCTATTTGAGGCATTTTGATATGGATAAAATTAAAAAAATTAATTTAAAATTTACTTAATAAATGAAGTATCAATTTTTTAATATTGATGAATTAATTAAAATAACTAGATTGAATTTGGAGGTATGCGGGTGTCTATATGCAAAGGGTGTATATGTGTGTGTGTGAGAGAGAGGAGAATGCTTAAATAAACAGGAAACAGGTGCGCACCTCTTTGGGGCGGTTGTATCACGTCGCTACCTCGTCCGATTGATCTGATCACATTTGTTTAAGATTTTTATATTGTAATTCTAAGACGGTAAGATCTAACAGTGGGAATGATGCACGCCAGGTGTAAAGATTTAGACCACATCAATAATAAATCAATAAACAAAATGGGCGGAATTTGTGGGCCTTCCGACTTTCTATCCCTAGTCTGCGAGCATTAATTGGATGTCTAGAGATCAGAACATTCATAAATAGACGAATCAACAATAAAAGTAACCTCTGTTTTTATAAGAGAGAGAGGCGGAAAGAAAGAAATAAATAAAACCTTATCAGCGATGGCTGGCAGATAGCGAGCCCGAACCAACCCGGCAGCCGTTGACCAATCCGAGCCTTTGTTCCGGGCGAGGGCTCTTCTAGCAGCAGCCACTGCAAGCTCCACATCTTCCGAAGTAGCAGCCGGAATATCTCCTAAACAAGGCAAGATTTAGAACACATGAGCGAATTAGGACTGATCCGGCCAAGTACGAAGCACAAGAACTGCTTATATTCTGGTTATCAATTCATGGCAAAGAGTAATGAACTGAGATGTGAAAGAGATTAGCATCAAAGCAAAAAGATCATGGAGACTTGTAGGTGTAGAGTAAGGAGAACCAACCAATTTTTTCTTGACAACTGGCTGTTTCCACTCCCCACCAATGAATAATTGTCTGGGGGCCACTGGGATTGCCATTTCTCGAAATCTGAGCCGATGGAACCAGCACGACAGTGCGCCAGAGAGACTGGCAAGTTTATGCAGTTCCGAGGACTTAATGGAGGAGCTGCTGCTTCAGGATCGTTCGCAGGTGATCACTGATAAGTAATGCTGTAATGGATCCGTGAGAAAACAAATTATGATGGCCCAAAAACACAAATTATGTTACCCAGCGGGAAAGAAAAATTATGACATACTACGTACTATCTGTTTTCATATAAGATTCAATTTAGCAATTTAGAGAGATAATAAAAGTTAAATAAATACCTTTTTTCTAGCTAAACACAGGCATTTTTTTTATTTGAAGCATTAAATTTCTCTCAGTTAGAATTGAAATATTAGTTCGTCATGTTATAAGATATTAGCCCATTTCACAACTAAACAAATAATTATTTATAATATATATTATATACAAGTTTATATCGTCTTTTTCAAATACTTATATGTATTTTTAAATTATATATAAGTTTATAAATCAAACAAATCTATAATATCCTAAATTAATTTTTAGGATTTATGTTTAAAAAATATATGAAATAAATAAATAAATAATAAATAATATATTATTATTATAATAAAATAATAATATTTAATATTTTAAAAAAAAAGTCATTCGGTGGAAAGTTTGGAGTTGGGCTTAAATAAGTTGTTAATTTTAATCTGTTTAAATTTGTTTATTTGTTAGTTTTTAGTATTTAAATTTATTTATTTAGTTGAAAATATGTTATTTATGGGATGTACCATATTTTTACTGATTAAATTTAAAGTAAATAATTTATTTGAGGTGTTAATATATTATTGAGATTTTAATCGGTTTAGTTTTATTTATTTAGTGACTAGAGGTTTTAAAATAATTAATTTAACTAAAAAATTTAGGGATAATTAATCTCGAGGTCCTTATAGTTTCATCTGATTTTTAATTAGTTCCTTATAAAAAATTTTCTTTTTATTAGATCCTTTTACTTTCGTGTGTTTTTAATTACGTCGTTCTATTTTTTTTCTTTTTATCAGGTCCTTATAGTTTCACTTATTTTTTAATTAGGTGCTTTGTAGTTTTTGAAAAATTATTTATTAACTTTATTCTTTAAAATTAATTTCATTTTTAAATTAATAATTATATAATTGGACAAAATAATTAATATAATCATTTAGTAATTAATAAATAATCAGAATAATAATTATACTTAAATATAAATTATTTATAATCATATTTTAATTTTAGAAAAATTTATTATTATAATTTGAATGTTATAATTATAAAAATTAGAATTGAAAATAAATAATATATTTGTTTAACTAAAAATTTAAAAAAATATTAACATAAGATTGTTACAATAATTTATTATTTTTAAAATGTTATTATTTGTAAAATAAAAAATAAAAACTACAAGGACCTAATTAAAAACAAAGTAAAACAATAAGGACCTGATAAAAAGAAAAAAAAATTATAAAGACTTGATTAAAAATATATGAAAGTATAAGGACCTGATAAAAAGAAAAAAAATTATAGGGACCTGATTAAAAACCAGTTAAAACTATAAGGGCTTATATATTAATTATCCCAAAAATTTATTATTTATGAAAATATATAGATGATAGTTATACCATTAAAGTTTTGATTAGCTTAATTATTTATAAATATTTGAAGCATTATTAAATTTTTGGTGGTTTAATTTTAAGATTTAAACTTCAAATGAGATTTTTAGAATTTAAAATATAATAATTCCATAATTGGAAATCTTGGAAATTTTTTTTATTAAAGTAAATAATCCAAATGATATAAATGAATATTTTTAGCCTGTCAGAAAAATTTATAAGTTGGTTCTAAAATACTTAATGTTAGGTTATCAGAGTTACAAGAATTTAGAATAAAAATTAAATTAAATTAGAAATTTAAATAATATATAAAAACCTAATTAATTAATTATTTAGCTTATATCAATATGTGGTTATATTAATTGTGTACATTAATAAATAAATAAATAAATAGTAAATAATAATAATAATTTAATATATATTTTTTTTAAAGGAAGAAACAAAGTCAAATTTGGCGATTGGGTTTAAAATCCCCCCATGTGTGGGGGTGTTCAATTCCTTCCCTCGTACACAAGAAGGAAGGAGATAGAGAGATAGAGAGATAGAGAGATAGAGTGGGCGAGAGAGGGGAGAGTAAACTGGTGAAAAAGAGAATAAGCTTTGAAAATAGGGAAAATGATAGATAAATAACTTTGAAAATATGAAATGCCAATTTAGGAAGTTAAGAAAATATAATTACAGATAGGGAAGTCATTCCCAAATTGAAATTTTGAAATTTAGTGAAATGATAAAAATACCCTTTGTCCTCTTTTTTTTTTTAAAAAAATCTCAGCCCCTCACCGGTGGCCGGTAGCCACTGGCGGCTGCCGACCGCCTCTGGCCACCAGCACTGGCCATTGGTGTGGTGGCTGCCAGTGAAGGATTTTTGTAACAACATTTTTTTTTTGGAATGGGATAATATGGTTCAAAGTGGCGAGAGTGGGATTTGATCCCACAACCCCTTGGCCACTTGGGCTAACAAAAGGGAACAGGGCCATTGGGCCATTAAAAATTTCTTAACCTTATAATGCAAACAAAAATATAAGTTAACTCTTTTACTGTGATTCCAGCGTGTGATAACAATTTATCTGAGGATGACAAGTCTTAATTGATAAATAACCAGTCTAAATTTGATATTAACAAAGCAACTTTTCCTTATACATAACAGGTAGCAGAATGTACATTAACTAAAAATGACCATAATTGATTTAAAAACGACACGTCTTTATTGAAAAATGACAAGTTTAAACTTGATACTAACAATGCAACTTTTTCTTATATATAACAAGAAATAGCATGTACGTTAATTAAAAATGACCATAATTTATTTGAAAATAACACGTCTTTACTGGAAAATGACAACAATTTATTCGGTATTTCTTGTTATGTATAAGAAAAAGTTGCCTTGTTAATATCAAGTTTAGACTTGTCATTTTCTAGTAAAGACGTGTTATTTTCAAATAAATTATGGTCATTTTTAATTAACGTACATGCTATTTTTTATTATGTATAAGGAAAAGTTGCCTTGTTAGTATCAAGTTTAGACTTATCATTTTTTACGTGTCGTTTTTAAATCAATTATGGTCATTTTTAGTTAATGTACATCCTGCTACCTGTTATGTAGAAGGAAAAGTTGATTTGTTAATATCAAATTTAGACTTGTTATTTTTCAATTAAGAGTTGTCATCCTCAGATAAATTGTTGTCACGTGTTGGAGTCACAGTAAAAGAGTTAACTTATATTTTTGTTTGCATTACAAGTTTAAGAAATCTTTAATGGCTCAATGGCCATGTTCCCTTTTGTTGGCCTAAGTGGCCAAGGGGTTATGGGATCAAATCCTACCCTCGCCACTTTGAACCATATTATCCCATTCAAAAAAAAAAAATGTTGTTACAAAAATCCTTCACCGGCAGCCACCACACCAATGGTCGGTGCTGGTGGCCAGAGGTGGTCGGCGGCCGCCGGAGGCTTCCGGTCGCCGGCCATCGGTGAGGGGCTGGGATTTTAAAAAAAAAAAGAACAAGGGGCATTTTTGTTATTTCACTGAATTTCAAAATTTCAATTTGGGAAGGACTTCCCTGTCTGTAATTACATTTCTTTAATTTTCCAAATTGGCATTTCACATTTTCAAACTTCTTTATCTGTCATTTTCCCTTAAAAATATTTTAGGTAAATAAAATTATTTTTTTATCAAACTTTTTTTTATGAATATTTACTGCATATTTTAAACTTCTTATTTACATTATTACTGTAGTGATTGGAGAAAATTTTGAGACTTGTATATGAGGTAAGTATTGAGTTTTTATAAAAGATAACTATAGAAATTTAGAAGTAAATGAGTTGTTAATTTTAATCTATTTAAATTTATCTATTTGTTAGTTTTTACTATTTAAATTAATTTATTTAGTTAAAAATATGTTATTTATGGGATATACCATATTTTTATAGATTAAATTTAAGTTAAATAATTTATTTGAGATGTTAACATATTATTGAGATTTTAATCGGTTTAGTTTTATTTACTGAGTGACTAGAGGTTTTAAAATAATTAATTTAGCTAAAAAATTTATTATTTATGAAAATATATATATGATAGTTATACTATTAAAGTTTTGATTAGCTTAATTATTTATAAATATGTGAAGTATTATTAAATTTTTTGTGGTTTGATTTTAAGATTTAAACTTCAAATGAGATTTTTAGATTTAAAATATAATAACTCCATATTTGAAAATTTTGAAAAATTCTTTTTAAATAATCCAGAGGATGTAAATGAATATTTTTAGCCCGTTAGAAAAATTTATAAGTTGATTCTAAAATATTTAATTTTAGGTTATGAGAGTTACGGGAATTTACAATAAAAATTAAATTAAATTAGAAATTTAAATAATATATAGAAGCCTAATTAATTAATTAGCTTATATTAATACGTGGTTATATTAATTGTGTAGATTAATTATTGGTTGAGCAAAAGATTAACCTTGTGGTAATCCTTTCTATTACTTTGGCGAGAAGTAACCACTTTTCACTTGTTATATATGTTAATATATTGTTTATGAGTATTTTGCTATTTTAGAATAGTGATTTATTATTTGAAACTTGAGTAAATATGTTATACTTTTTGAGCTATAAAAATTGTCTTGTGAAATTTTTGAAACTGTGATTGAGAAGTTTAGAAAAGATATATGTTTTATATCATATAGATTGTACTAAAAAAAAGAGACATTTTTGTTTTATTGTGAATGATTAGTTGTTATTTAGATTTTGGATTGAGCCCCGTCTTACCACGTGGTATGGCCACCATTAGTGCATATTGGTTGGCTTCCTTCATCCCCATAGTAAGGGATATACCTTTATCACTTCTTATTCGTCTCCCAAAGTGAGGGATATACCTTTATCACTTCTTATTCGTCTCCCAAAGTGAGGGATATACCTATATGTCTGATTAATCCCTCATAGTAATGGATAGATCTGTGTGGCTTGTATGTTAGCTTCCACAGTGAGGGTTTAGATGATAGAAATTATATTTCTATGAACATATCTATATTTTTTTTAGAATTAATAACTGTCCCAATTAACACCCCACAAGCATGTGTTAATATATATGATAAGTTGAAAAGTTAGTTACTGAGACGTTTGTTTCACCTCGTGATTTTTACTATCTTCAGGTGATAATTCAGGTGGTGGCCCATTAGAGAAGGTTCTAGAGGCATAGTGTGCTGTTATAATTTGTATAACCTCCCAACTTTTGTTCTGTGTGCTGGTTTTTTATATATTGGCATATTACTACATATGGCTCATCTACTCTAATGTTATAAATTAATATTTTTAATTACTACTATATGATATGGGAGGTTGTTAGAAGGCCAGAGGTCTTTTAGATTTTACGTGTTATACTCTTTTAAAAGTGTTGACTTTTGATTAATGGGTTTTATAACTTGTATTAAAACGATTCGTTAGTTTGTATGTGTAAAAGTATGAGTTTGGTGCGGGCTAATAATTTAGTATTCATGGATTTTTGAAGTCTAAGGCCAAAGTTAACGATCGATGTTAAGCATAACATAAGTTTATTTTTTAATCATGATAACGATTTTAAAATTTTAAGATTTCTTCTTTTCTACCATAGTTAATCTTCCGAATAAATTTTTTAATTTAATCTCAATGAGTTTTAAAAGAATAGTTGTCACACAATCAATTTATAAAAATGGTAAATATAAATAATTTAAAATAATTTATGTGGTTTTTTAATTAGTCATTAGATTTTATATTAATAATAAGACGAAGTTATATTTTAGCTTAATTTAAAATTTACTTAATAAATTAAGTATCAAGTTTTTAATACTGATGAATTAATTAAAATAGTTAGATTGAATTTGGAGGTATGCGCGTGTCTACATGCAGAGAGTGTGCGTGTGCGTGTGTGTGAGAGAGAGGAGAATGCTTAAATAAACGGGAAACAGGTGCCCCACTCTGGGGGGGTTGGCGCGCGACGCGCTTCATATCACGTCCCTATCTCGTCCGATTGATTTGATCACATTTATTTAGGATTTTTATATTGTAATTCTAAGATAGTAAGATCTAACCGTGGGAATGATGCACGCCAGGTGTAAAGATTTTAGACCACATCAGTAATAAATCAATAAACAAAACGGGCGGAATTTGTGGGCCTTCCAACTCGAGTCCGGAAGTGATATCCTTGGCCATCACAGAGAGAGGAAAATGCATAGATGCCATGAAAAGACCGAAAATCCAATACAGTGTACAGATGAAGAATAAATGAATATAAAAGGGAGAGAAAAAGAAGAAAAGCAAGGCGTATATGATAAATATGTTACAAAAAACCAGAAAAGAAAACGAAAAAGCCTATATGAGGGGCGTGAGCGTGGAGTGGATGGAAGAGATCAGGATTTAGTGGAGGTTTTGTTGTACTTGGTCTTGATCCAATGGAGGCCGGCGGAGGTGCCGTCCTTCAACTTGGACATGCCAGTTTTTGCGACGGCTTTGGTCTTTCCGAGCCCGTCTCCGAGCTTCTGCTTATATTTGGCGGTTCCGGTGTGGTTGTCCTTCGCGTCGACGGCCGCCGGGTCTGGGCCATAATCCCACTGGTCCGCCCACGATGTGCCGTAAGAGCTGTTCCCTTCCATGTCTTCTTCTCCGACCAGATAAACAGAAATCGATCGCCGCCAGAATTTTGGTGCTTCCCGTGTTTTCAACGCTCTTATTTATAGCAGGGCCCCCGCATGCACCATTGCTCGTTTTCTAATTTCGCAAATATATTATTCTTCGCCACCAAGTTATGACTTTTTCATCTTTTTAAGGAATAGCTGAAGCGTAAGGAGCTCGATCTTTGACTTTTACCCCTTCACATGGATATTGGTTCGGTCTTCATATGCTTCTCGATTTTTCCATTCTAAACAACGCTGATTAGAAAATCTGCCCAACTAATAGACATGATCAATCCATGAATAGGTATGTATGTTTATATAATATTGGATGGATAAGTGAAATCTTCTAGAACTAACTAGGAAAGTTAGTAATATAAGGTGAGGCACAGAAAAGAGAGGGTCCTACCTATGCCAGCAATCCACAGCTTCACACGGATGCGCTTACGTACGTAGTGTGGAAGATGGGACGGTGGGCGGCTTATTCTCTTATTAGAAACTTCTGATCTTCAGCGTCAAAACACGACAAAAGTCAAATCTGGATCACCCCTGTTCTTGTTTAACAAGTAACAACCCAAATAATCAACTCAAAACATATTATATGCCCACGTTACGGCGTTTGCCAAATACCCTGCCATAGCTAACATTTCTTTCGGTGCTTCTTTTTTTGTTTTTTTAAATCACAAGTATTTTTCTATTAGAAATAATTTTTTAAAAATATTTTTTATGGATCCAACTTTGGTTCTGTACTTATTATTCTTTTTTCGGTATAAAAAAGTTTAGATAAATTGGGTTTTAAGGGTTTATTATAGTTATGACATAGCTCAAGACTCAAAGAACACTTACAGAGATAGTTGCAGGCTGCCTGCTAACAAGTTCTTCACATTATCGGTGAAATTCAAACTCATTATTTTATGAGTTATCAGCCAACTGTTTAGCGACTAGACCAACACTTGTTGGTTCTGCACTTCTGAATTATACAGGCCCTTGACCCTGGATTGACGAGCACACTAGACCAGCCCATAACTTTTTGGGCCTAATTGGGCTTTCTAGATTTGGAGGGGACTTAGCTCGGACGATGGAGCAGAAGAACTCAATCTATTGTGTTTGGTTCCCACATTTTAACGGGGTTTGACATCTTTCATAATTGATTCACTCTTACATCACTTTAGTCAAAACCTGATCCTGACGAAGATAATGGCGAAATGATATGTACTGTGGTGAAGACAGAACATGAGCATAGCACCGTCCAAATGGCGAGTTTCTGCTTATTGGCCAACAGATTCATAACGCAGCACACTAAATTTTTATCACTTCAACACTAAGATATAATATTATGCTCATCAGAATTGCTTTTCTTCTTTTTTTATCCTTAGCAGTAAGTAACATCGAATCACTCACAGCTTTAGTGCAGGTGTTTGCTGTCATTTTCCATTTTAAGGACCAACACGAGACGATAAGAAGGATATAGGGCGTTGCAACTTGAAGGAATTGAAGTCCTTTGAGGACATTTTTTAGTGGCTGCTATACATTTTGTCAGATCAGACCAGTGTGCTTTTTTTATTTTTTGGACAAAAGACCGGTGTCTTTTTGAATGATGCTTTGAGAAAGAAGGGGGGGGGGGGGAAAAACGAAAATGGCATTTTCTAAATGTAGGAAAGTCCACTATCTCCACTTTCACTTAACAAATAGTATGCCCATCCCTTGAATGGAAACCTATGCCCACCCTGCCACTCGATGCTGCTTTATCTAAATAAATGCGTTTCTGGATCTCCTTATTTTCTTCTAAAATTTCACATCTCTTCATGATCACAAGTTAAAGATGCATCATATAAATAGTGTATCAAATCGTGGCGATCGCTTCCCAAGATTGGGAGAGGCCTGTAAGTTTCTTTTTTATCGGTTACCAAAGAATGGGATGTGTGAAGCTTCAAATGCAAGGATAATAGAACTTTTTAATGAAAGTTTGGGAAGTTGAAGTACTCTTGTTGGACTAGCTTTCCAACTTGGAAATCAAAGTGCTCTCTGCACAATTAATCTGATTATATGTAAATATCTTTGTGATGGAACAATAGGCTTTCATCGAACACCTTTCAATTTATGGTTCAATTCAACCAACTAAGTTTGGAGTTTCACTTTCCTTGGAATCCCTCGCTTTCCCTGTATTACCCCACACACTCGGATTAGAAGAGTAAACAAGTTGACTTTTTGACTAAGAACGAATGAGACGAGCAGGAGTAGTTCGGAAAAGAAACTACACGACATAAGATATGAGGTCACAAAAGTTGAATTAATGCCAACCAGAATAGAGAAAATAGGATTTTAAACTGCATAAAAGTTAGCATCTTTGGAAGCATTTCTTTGAATCCCTCTTAGGATCGGATAACATGAGAATACCATTGATTTGACATATCTCCATGCAAATCAATAGCCAAAAATAACAAATATTTTACCAGTGCAAAGTTCATCTCCTCCATTCTCTTATCTGTACCCACCGTTGATCATTGTCATCTCATAAAATTGATTAAGCATTGTAGGAAGGCATAAACAATAAGTCTTCCCTATTATACTATATATCACCGGTGGCTTTCAAATTGCCATTATTATATAGAGAGAATGATCCAGAGGTTGGAGGGGTTCATTTAGAGTAGGATGCAAGTAAAGCCTCACAAATATTGGTTTCCTTTGGTCCGTCACCATTGAGAGCAATTTGTCTAGTCACTCTCAAAAAGATCAGTGGGGGCTACAACCATCTTCACACGTAATCAACCCAGAAGTGCAAAATGGCGGGACTTGGAAATTTATTAGCCTGTACAAGTCTCTGTGGAATCCAATGGGGCACAGGAAATTGAGAACTCAACTAAGGGTCATTCTAGGACACCTGATCTGGGGTATCAGATTGGTAAGGACCCTGGAAAGAGGGCATGTGGTCCAAATTGGGGTTAGTCTAAGCCACATGGGTGGACTTCGCCTATAGCAGCTAGGAATCTGATTTAGGATTTTGTTGGGTGCAAATTAAGGGAAGCCTTTCGATTAGATGATTGATGAAAGATTTCCACTGCCTATATAGCTTGTAGCATCTAAAATAATTGAAGGGTTCTTTGACTGAATATTTCTGTGGTTATTTTTGGCTGCGTCCTTATGGCAGCCAGCCAGCTTATCCAGAGAAATAGATGTGTCTCTTTCCATGTAGCAAAAGGTATAAATTATTCAAGTGGCTGTCATTTGTGTTGCTTTTATTTAGCGAGTATTTTCTCTGTTTAATGATTTCACTTTCATCTGCACGAATAAAAAGCTTCAGGTCATCGGATTACTGCTAAATGCTAAGCAATCTATCTTTTTCATTATGCTTTGCTTAATGCTGTTTGTTCCCAGCCGTGCTCTATTTATCAGAAGGTTTGTTCAATCCCACAAGCTGACAACCTCCCAAATGCTAGCTGGAATAAACTCTATGGTTGCTAGCTAAGACCCAAAGACCACTAAGTTTATATTATTATTGTTATTGTTATTTTTCATTTTCTAAAGGGAAAATTGAAAGGACTAGTGGAAAGTGACCCCTGTGTTTTTCTTTTTAAAAAATAATTTCTCTCATATTGAGTGTCAAACTCAAATATTTGAGTTTTGGAGACGACTTCAATATCATTGAGCCAAAATGATAGATAAGTAACTTCAGTCGGGAAAAAAATGCTTGAAATTCAATTACTGAGTCCATACAGGAAATAGCCTAAACTGGAACAATCTTGCTTCCTCAAAGAGTTCAAACCTAGCTTTCATACAATCAAAGCATCTTATTACCTATTCCTAAAGTGTCATATATTGGTCTTCACATGTATAATAGGCCTCATCTGGCTTTCTGCCATACCATTTACTCTCACCTTAACATGTGAATCATGGAACATCACCGATCTGATGGTGCTTCTTCTTCTTCTTCCTCTTGCTCACACCATCTTCAACCAGGGCCACAGTCTGTGTCTTCACAACGTAGCATGGCTTCAGTGCCTTCCCTTAACTCACAATCTCGTCACCAGCAAGAAACCCATCCTTCCACCAACTTCCACCAGTGCCTCACAACTCTCAAAGGCCACACTTCTTCTTACACATCCTGTCTTGCCCTCTCGGGGAAGTTCCTCTACGCAGGTTCATCTGACAGAGAAATCAGATCGTGGAATCGCAGTGTTTTGCTTTCTGAGTTAGACCCTGAAAATTCCATCACCAACATAGCACTTTCCGGAAAGGGTGCAGTGAAATCCATCGTGGCTCAATCTGATAAGCTTTTCAGTGCTCACCAAGATCATAAAATCAGAGTATGGAAGATCAGCAACCAAGAAACTGACCAACAGGAATACACGCATGTAGCCACCCTTCCAACTTTAGGTGATCGTGCTTCCAAAATTTTGATCCCTAAGAACCATGTCCAGATCAGAAGGCACAAGAAATGTACGTGGGTTCATCATGTGGACACAGTCTCTGCTCTGGCCTTGTCCAAAGACGAAACCTTGCTGTACTCGGTTTCATGGGACAGGACAGTCAAAATATGGAGAACCAGAGATTTCAGCTGTTTAGAATCAGTAACCAACGCACACGACGATGCCATAAATGCGGTCGCAGTTTCCGACGATGGGTACGTATACACGGGATCAGCAGACAGGAAAATTAAAGTGTGGAAGAAAGGAGAAGGAGAAAAGAAGCACTCTTTGGTAGATACATTAGAGAGACACGATTCTGGGATCAATGCGTTGGCTCTGAGCAGTGACGGGAGCGTGTTGTATTCTGGTGCGAGTGACAGGTCGATATTGGTTTGGGAGAAAGATGAAGAAGATGGGAAAATGGAGTTGGTGGGGGCATTAAGAGGCCATACTAAGTCTATATTGTGCTTGGCTGTGGTTTGGGATTTGGTTTGTAGTGGTTCAGCGGATAGAACGATTCGGATATGGAGAGGGATTGAGAAACAGTACTCGTGTTTAGCAGTTTTGGAAGGGCATAGAGGAGCAATCAAGTGTATAACTGCGGCCATTGATCGTTGTGATTCCTCTGAAGCTTCTTTTCTAGTGTACAGTGGCAGTTTGGATTGCGACGTTAAGATGTGGCAGATTGTTGTCCCTGTTTCTTAGATTCCTAGGATTATTGCAGAGGGAGAGGCGTTAGGTTCATGATCCTTCAGAAAATATTACCGATTTGTCATGGGAATGATTTTTTTTCTCTTCTTAATGCACCATAGTATTTTAAGAGTTGTCATCTTTGGCCATGCTGATCTAACACTGCTTAAACTTTTGCTTGATTAAGGACTTCTAATTAACACTAATTTTTGTGCTTAAGATCCTAACATTTAAATTGGTTTAGTCTTACCATACTAAGAATAATTTAAACATTAAATACATTTTTTACCAATTGACTCCAATAACACCGACAAGTTATTGTTATACTCCTCCGGTCCTAATTATAAGACCCAATTGACTTATTTGAGGAGATTAAGGAAGTAAGTTAAGTTGATTATTTATAATAAATAAGTGTTGTTATTCCTAAAATATCCTTGCTAATTAAGTATATTGGCTAAAACTATCATTATTAGAAGGATTATCTTGGAAAAAAATACATAAATATAAGAGAGAAAATAGATTGGGTCTTATAATTAGGACCAAATAAAAAGTCAAATTGGGTCTTATAATAAGGACCGGAGGAGTATTCTAGTAAAAATCGAGTCTTCTGATTATATGATTGATTTTACGAATTAATTAATTCATTCATTTCGCCTTTTCTTCCCAAAAAAAAAAAGAAATAATTAATTAAATGAATGGGGTTAGGCCGAGGCTCGATAAAAAGTAATTAAATTTCACCATATAATTATCCGTGGGACCTAAGAATGATCCTTATCCGTTTAATTACGCAAGAACGGGTGAAGTGTTCGGTAACAATCATATGTCAAAATGCCACGATTTCTAACCTAAGCAGTTTGATAATGACCCATTTAATTTAATATAGGATCATGCGACGATGCAATAAAATTTCAACATATAACATCACGAACTCGCCTCGTTTCCTAGGAGTCCCGGGAATATGCTGCGAACTTGTAAGTTGCAACTAACATTATTGCTACTTTGATTCCAATTATAAAATCTCGTTTATAGTCTACAAATAAGACCTTATATAATATAAACAAATTTATCCAGAATTACAAACAGGTCCTTTAATTTTTTTTTTAACATTTTTTTCAGGAATTAAATCTTTGATTTGAGTATAACTTCTCAACAAGCTTAGAGAGTTCAAACGCATAAATCATTTGCCCCCATATTCTTTTAATTCCAACCATAATTCAAATCTAAAATCATTACATACAAAGCTAACACCACCATCCTTCAAAAAATGATTGAGGCGAGTTGCTGATGGCTCGTATCCTAGTCATTATCATTATCATTAATCCAATAGAAAACCATAATAGGTTTTTCTTCTTTTTCTTTTTGCCCCTGTTTTGACAAGGGAATAGACATGGGTAAATTTACATCATACAAATAAATACAAATTTGCTTCACCGGAGCAGAAAATCTCGCAATCAGGTTGAACTTGTTACAGACAAGAGGCCACTCTCAGGTTCACGATGTTTCAGGAAAAGTAAAATGAATGAAGGGAATAACAACATAATACCAACAGAATGTCAACTGAAGTTAGTTACAGTGGTTCTTTCGCTGGTGTACCAGGATCACGGGGATATTTCTTTGGGGTGGGACGATCTTTTAAACAAACAACAGCAGTTCGCTGACCATGTGGGCTCTGCGATTCCACTGAACAGGACATGACACTTACGTTATTGATGATCAGAGCTGAGATTTTCCTATGCACTTTTAAAGGTTGCAGAAGGGAAAATTATGTCTATTAAACCTATACTTGTTGACGGAAGCCTTTGATATAAATGCCAGTTTCGTCTAAAAGCTTAACTAGGAAACCACAAAGTTTATATTAGGAGATAAGTTTAACGGATTAAAGAGGTACCTGAGTATACTTGCAATAGAGATGCACCCATCTTTTGGATTGCGCCTTCAGCTTTCCTAAGTTCCTCCTATTTAAATTTGCCATATATTAATAGATGGTTGACGATTTCAGATGTACCGGATATGTACGAAAAGCATTTTACGTATATATTTTGAATTTGCATGCCCTTTGTTTCCCTTAAATGCTAACATCTACATGCTAGAACAAATTTGCCAAGTGACTACAAACATCACCCTCATTCTCTCTCACTCTCTTATTGTAAGAAAGAATCACAAATAATCAAGATATTACCCCATGAAATTCCTCGTAGGCATTGCCTAATTTGGACTCATGCCTTCAAATTAACGTATAACAGAGAATGGATGGAATGGCCAAAGTGGGTGGGACCAATATTCGGAAAATCTTTTTAACAATGAAATGGAAAGAGATGGTCTCCAAATTCGGTGGTCAATGTAGCAATGACATAGGTAAATGGTATAATTACATATAATAGCTAAAAACTAAAATCGCATTCTAATTATAAAGTTGATTTGGACAAAATATTTGTCATTTCTGTCCTATTAACAACTCCCTTCCATCATTAAAATCCCATACGAGACCAAGACATGACTTTCCTTTCTATTCTATTCCCTCATGAATTCCCATCTCGTGTAAAAATCCTTATTCAATGCTTATAACGTTCCTAATGCCCCCTTCTAGCTAATTCACTTGTAGCACAGCCCATAGGTTGGAGTCAGAGTAAGCTAATGACCAAGGATATATATTCAAGTCCAATTCCCAAATTCTCAACACCAGCGAAAATCAAATAAAATTTGCAATTGCAATAATTTAGCCACATGCCCTAGCAAAGAACAAGTATGGAGAAATAAAGTCTCTGCTTGTTCTCATATCATTCCAGCAATCACTAAATCAAATTTTAAACATATAATCTGCAGAAGATAATGACCAACAACGCAAAGAAGTGTTATGGAAATCACAAACCTCGGGATGATAACCTTTGGCGGCTAGAAACAATCCACCAACACGGACCAAGGGAAGACAATACTCGGCTGAAAATCCAATAACAAGAATCAAGAATCATAGCAGTGAATATTACCAAGTCTTGAAGCATCCAAAATCCACATAATAAAGTCCTAAATATTACCCAATATTCTCATCTCCGCAACAGCCCTTGCTACTGCTATGTCAAATTGCTCTCTCAAGCAAAGATTCTGACCTAAATTCTGTTCTGTGCACAGTCCAAGGCATATATTCAAGCAGGAGAAAATACACAGTTATTGGCAAAATAACAAGAATAAGATGATTTTTCACAGCGCTCGGTTTAAGAAGAAATTGTTCTAGGTTATTGTCTTAAAATTTTTAAGCACGCACTGTGATGAAAGTGTAAGAGTTTAACGATTTTATCTGCGATGGGCAAGCGAGTATACGCAACGTGGATACTCTGGCATTGTTTACATAAGCAATGTTCGGATGAGAAAAAACTAAATCCAAATAGCAACCACAAGATGCTCCTCAGCATCATTCCTTTAAGAGAAAAGGAAAATCACCCAGCAAAACCAACAGCGATTTAAAATTAACAATTAACATATACATATATTTAAAAGAATACTTCCTTAAATAGGCGTAAGAACATAACATAGCGCGTTTGAATTTTTCCTTAGTAAAGAATGCGAATCCTCGGGTGAAATTTTTATATTCCGTGATTGAAATGTAGAAAGAGAAACAAAATTTGTACATGCACGTGCCATTGAATTTTACCTCTGCTCTTCCTCTTACAATTTGAACGTTTGACAAGCCAGTAACACCGACAGCATGCTCCAAGAAAACGCATCGCTTGTTCATAGACTCCAGAAGCGTTACGTCCCATTCTATGGAATGCATCATTTCAGTTAGAAGGGGAACAGAAATAACAAGGGGACCCGATTAACATAAACACACATTAATAAAGTTTAATGAACAATTCACCCGGGCAAGCTATGGCCAAAATTATTCCAGGAAGGCCAGCGCCAGTTCCAACGTCGACCAATTTGAGCTTATCATATGAATTACCGTAGCGAGATCGATAGCAATCCCTCAAAGGCGGTAAAATCGCAAGGGAATCCTCAACATGACGTTCCATTACTTCATGGACCTCCTTAACTGCAGTAAGATTCATCCGCTGCCATTAAATAAATAAAAAAATCGTCAGCTTGGAGGCGTCAAACTGCGTATTAGCGTGAAAAGGAGTTTAAGGGAGAGAAAACCTTGTTCCATTGAAGAAGAGCGTCAACGTACTGATGAATTTGGTCTTTCTGACGGGAGGTTAGGGCAGTAAATTGAGGAAGAGAATTGAAAACTATGCTACATACGGATTTGGCGCCGCTTCTATGGTTCGGATTGCAAGTGCTGAGGTGTTTGGAAAAAGTCCGGCCACAGACCTCCAAGTTAACTAAGGTGCTGCGACTTAGCAGCATCTCTGCTGCGCGCGCTTTTCCTTTCTTACCTTTGTCACTTGCACTGGCCTGTCCTGGGTACACCGTCCGGCGCCAAATATTTTCAGTTTGCGTTTGATAGGAGGGATCGTAGTTAGTGCCCTTGGCCCAAAACCTAGCTGTTAGGCCCAATCGATATAAAGTCGGGAATCCCTAACCATTGACCCAAAAACAGTGGTTTAAGAAAATTTAAAAAAAAAAATTGTATATAAATATGAGGAAGAATCCCATTTAAATTCAGTTAACATACTAAAATTTAAAATCAGGCCTTCACTTTGTACTACTTCCTAATCAGGGATTTATGAATATTCTTAAAAATCCAAAATGCCTCTCTATAATTAAAATATGAGATGTTACTTTTATATTTTTCTCCCTTACAAATTATTTTTCTAAAATATGAAAATAATAAATTATAACACCATCCTCAATTTACATTAATTATTACTCCGTCGTCCTAAAAAATCTGTAAAAGTTTTGTTGTCTTAATAAGAGTAATTATTAATATAAATTGAAAACTATGTTGTAATTTTCTATAATTTACAAAAGATTTACTATTTTCACATTTCAGGAAAATGTGGCAAAAAAAATAAACAAAAAAATTAGTATAGGCTTAGTTTTGAATTTTAGTATTTCAATTAGATTTAAATAGGATTCTCCTTAAATATAAAGAAATAAAATTGAAATTATTTTTTATTCTATATTAATTAAAAATATTTGAATAATTAAAAAATAAAAATACAATATATGTATTTAAACTGATTAATTTTCTCT